ACCCCGGAGCTTCTTCCGGAGGCGCAAGGTCAGAGCTGGGCAAGAGGGAGCAACCGCACGGGGCACAGGGAGGGTTCCCTTTGCGTGAGGTTGCCGTTAAGTCGTCGCCAGCTTGAGGCACCCTGTGCTGCTCACTGCTGTTTGCAGGAAGACACAGGTAAAACGGCCGGGCAGAGAGAGAGGGAGAGAGAGAGGGAGAGGAGAGGCCGGTTCAGCGGCGGCCATGGACCTTGCTCTCCGAGTCCAGTGGCCTGGCCAGTTCCCTTCCCTGCATTATGCAAAGCTGCAGAAGCCCAGTCTTTGCTTTCCTCTGGGAAGGAAGCCTGCCAGCTGAGAACTGGTGGTTCCGGGCAAGGAGCTGGGCCTGGCATCCCCTGCCCCAAGCTACAGCAACCCCTCCCCCCAGGGATTGGCATGATTCCTTGCTCTTCTCCCGGGGGAAAGCCCCTCCGTGCACAGTCTCTCTGCTGCCCTTCCGGGGGGGGCAGCAGAGGAGTCCCCCTCCATGGCAGCCCGCTGGCCCGCCAGCTGGCCATCCATCTGAGCCCGGCCCGGCCCGCCTTGCGCAGCTGAGCCGCTGACGTACTCCGCTGCCAGCCAGCCCCAGCTCGGACGCAGGACGTCCTGGCAGCCAGGGCGATATCCGTCAGGCGGCGGCTCCCTGGCAGGGCCGAGCTCCCGGGATCAAAGGCCCGCCTGCGCGGAGGGGCGCTGCTGCGACTCCTGCCAAGCCGGCATGCGCCACGCCGGGCGTGAAGGCGTCACTTCTTCCCCGCTCGTTCCCACGCCATCCAGGCCGCCCCCGCCGGTGCCAAAGCAGGCGTGACGCAGGAGGCCCCGATCAATTGAGTGCTCAAGCAGCCGGGTGGGGCTGGGCAGTGCTGGGGGGGGGGTTAACCCTTCGGTGCCTGCATGATGCCTGTGGGTTCACGTGTGCCGCTGCACATCTCCCAGTGGGTCCACAGTACTCTGCGGGGATGGCCTGGAACGTGGGTGCCCCCCGAGACAAGCACCACACGGAACCGGAACGTCCCACAGCAGCTCGGACATTTGCGAGAGGAGAGGGGCCGGGGGGCTGGTCCCACGGCAGCGATTCCTGCTTCGTCCCTTGACACGCTGAGGCAGAAGGAGGCGGCAGTTTATTTGCTTTATGTATTTGTTGGATTGATATCCTGCCTTTTTTCTTCTAAAGAACTCAGAGCGGCTTACCTCATTCTCCTCCTCCGGCTCTCAGTCGGAGAAAGACTCACACAACCACAACCACAACCCTGCAAGGCGGGTTGGGCTGAGAGGCCGTGCATGGCCCCGAGTCACCCAGCGGGCTGCACGGCTGAGTGGGGACGAGAACCCGGGCTGCCCGAGTCCCAGGCCCACGCTCTTCACCAGCACACCGGCCGGGCCACTGGATGATGGATGATGGGGCAGACACAGACACAATCGGTGCAGAGCAGCAGGCGGCTGAGGCAGCACGAGTGAATTTCAGCTGCTCAGCTCAAGGTGCCTGAGTGGGTGGTGGCCAACCAGCTCTGGGCAAGACTGATTCTCTGGGCCTCTTCGGTTCGGGGCTCAGGCTTGGTTTTGGCATGGAAACCGCCTCGGGCGCCCTGTCTGGTGACCCATCCTGGGAGAGAGGCAGGGGAGGCCGGCCCCTGCCGGTTCTGCTGGACCTCTCGGCAGCTCCCGATGCCGTTGACCAAGGGATCCTTCCGGAGCAGCCGGGTGGGCTGGGCATGGGGGGCCCCACGTCGCAGTGGTTCCTCTCCTATCTGGAGGGCCACCTGGACAGGGCGGTGCCTGGGGAATATTAGCCAGCCCTGGAATTCTCCTTTTCCTCCTCCGCAGCTGAGCCTGCGGATGTGCTGAGCTGGCGTCTGGCTGCAACAAGGGGCTGGATAGGGGCCAACAAACCGACACTCCCTCCCTGCAAGACTGAGATGCTGCCAACGGGTGGTTCGTCTGACCAGAAGGAGGGCGTTCGGCCAGTTTGAAACAGGCCGCTCTCCCCGAAGGAGGGGACGCACCCGGAGCCACCTCGGTCACCTGGCGCCCAGGTGGCGTCAGTGGCTCAGAGTGCCTTCCACCCACTTTGGCTTGCGGCCCAGCTGCTCCCCGGTCTGGGCGGAGATGGCCTGCTGCAGTGATCTACGCTCTGATGCTCTCTAACTCTCTGACTAGATTGCTGCAAGGCACAGCCTGTGGGGCTGCCCCTGAAGACTGTGCAGCAGCTGCAGCTAGCACTAAACGCGGCAGCCAGACGAACAACAGGGACCGGAGGGTCTGCGCATGCCAGGCCAATTCTGGCCCGTGCACACCGGCAGCCCGTATGCGTCCAGGCACGGTTCAAGGCGCCGCTTTTCGCCACACAGCCTGGGGCCACGATGCCTGGTGGAGCCCCTCTCCCAGCCAGCACTGCTGCGAGCGCCCTCGGGGGCCTGCCTCTGGCTGCCACCTCCAAGGGCGGCTTGGGGGGGGGCAACAAGGAGGAGAGCTTTTCCAGTGAGGCCCCCCAGTTGTGAAACAAGGCCAGGAAAGGTCCTGCCGCCACGTTCAGGGGGTCCCAGCAAGTGTCAAGCGGGTTTTCAGGGACAAGAAAACATCCTTCAGCAAACAGACAGCTTGCCCCCATTAGAGCAAGGAAGGACACAGGCCTGCAAAGGAAATGGAGGCGGATGGCAGGGAATGCAAAGCAGGCTTCTGAGGAATGCAAAGTGACTAGGCAGGAAAGTGGCTTGGAGAGCTCAGCAAAAATCATGACCCCCCCACCCCCCCACCCCCCCGTGCAGCCACAGTGAAAAAAGCAAGCCCCGGGTTGGACGTAACTAAGGACTGAAAACTGGGCTGCTGCCACCAAGGCAGTCTTCTCCAGAGTGCCTGTGCGACCCATACTTGCTTTGGGGCATTAGTTCTGGGCCCCACATCTCAAAAAGGGCCTTGCAGAAACAAGCACACAGAATGCACAGAGGTGCCAAGTCGGCGGCTATTTAGCTTAGGGAAACGGGCGACTGGGCAAAGGAGGCGGCGCAACCAAGATGCATGGAACGGTGCGCAGAGTGCGGAGAGAGTGATGCTCCCTGACCATTCTCTCGTGGCTGTTAGAGCCCAGGATGGTCATCCCGGGAAGCCGGGGGCTCCAGGAGAGGGTCGGAAGCTTAGCCGAGAGGTCCGGGGGGCCAGGAGGTGGATGTTGACAAACGTGAGGAAGAACTCCCTGGTCATGGGGGCTCTTCCAGAGGAGGATGGCCGGCCTGCCTGCCTTGGAGGGCCATGGCCGACACGTCTTTGCTGCAGGGCCTCCGGCAAAGGCTTGGGTGGCCGCCTTCGCCCAGAGCGGTGGCGCAGAGAATTCCCCGCGTTCGGTGAAGGTGGCAGCTGCCCCAGGTTCTGCCAGGGTTCCCGTGGCAGGTGCCGGCCACTGCGGGGAGCGGGTGGACCCACCGGACGCAACGGGCCTTGGCCTGAGCCATCTGCAGGGCTGACCAAGGGTGATCCAGCCTGGCGGCCAGCAGCCTTAGTCCTGGGCCCATGGCTCGGGGAGGTCTCCTTGGCAGCTCCTCATGGACCAGCCTGGTGGTGGTGGTGGACACGGTTCTCCCAAAGGGGTCTTCATCTTGGCCATTGCTGGGACGGAGAAAGGCGGCTGCTTTGGGAGCACATGCCCAGGGAGGAGGAGTGAGGGGGGCTCAGGGCAGGGAATGTGGGCCATCCCCAGACACGGAGATGCTGATCCCATGGCCAGGCCCCCCAGGTGGGCAGGCGGTCCCTGGAACAACCACGAGGCCCGGTTGGCCGGAGGGGACTTGGAGCAGGGGGCTTCTCCGATGGGCTGGGCGTGACTCTTGACCCACCGTGTGGCATCAGCAGAAGGAGGTGGGCCAATGAGAAGAAAGGCCTGCCTGCGGGGAGGCGGCGTGCCGGTTTTCCAGAAGGCCCGCCCAGAGGGACGGAGGTCAGGCCTGCCCATAAGGAGAGCCCCCGGAGGCGCATACTAGACCGGGTGCAAAAACCACTCTGTGCATGCTCAGAGATTCATTCTGGACCTTTGTGCATCTGGGAAATGCTTTGGCCAAGGAAGAACATTTTGCAAGAAGGGTCTGCGGCTCTGAATGTGCAAAGGGAAAACCCCAGCTCACCGCTCTGCCAAAATGACCGGAGGGACGGAGGTCAGGCAGGCCTGCCCATAAGGAGAGCCCCCGGAGGCGCATACTAGACCGGGTGCAAAAACCACTCTGTGCATGCTCAGAGATTCATTCTGGACCTTTGTGCATCTGGGAAATGCTTTGGCCAAGGAAGAACATTTTGCAAGAAGGGTCTGCGGCTCTGAATGTGCAAAGGGAAAACCCCAGCTCACCGCTCTGCCAAAATGACCGGAGGGACGGAGGTCAGGCAGGCATGCCCATAAGAAGCCCCCGGAGGCGCATACTCGACCGGGCTCAGCAAACCACTCCACGTGCTCAGATCTGTTCCGGGTGTTCTGTGCGTTGGGCAATAAAGAACGCAGTGCCAGGAAAAGGTCTGTGGCTTTGAATGTGCCAAGGTGGAGCCATCGGGGCTTTAACGAATGACGTTAAATAAAAACATTAAACAAACACACCTCGGCTCACGACAGCCGTGCCGAAGGCCCTTCCCGGGCACGGCTGCGCTGTGCGAGTGCAGGGAAATCTGGAGCGTGCCCTGGGCGTGCTCCCATTTGCACAGGCGGTGGGGCAGCGCACCTGCCCGCCAGCACCTCTCTACCTGCAGCCGTCACCGTTTCCACTGAAGTCAATGGTCTTCCGCGCACTGGTGCTTCCTGCTCTCTCCTGGTGGGGGGACGACCCCACACCATGCACCTGCGCAGGCTTGGGGACCGATGCAGCCCCCGCCCCGCTGAAATGGACCGGCACTTGGGCTCCAGCCCCCATAGCTTCCACCACCACCCCCCGCCCAGAACGTGGCCCAAGAGCTCCTCCAAACTCTCCGCCAGGGAATTCAGGCTTGCGATACACTTTCGGAAGCATGTTTATTCTCCCTCTCCAGACAGGCCCCGGTGCCTGCCCCCCACGTGGGAAAGGGAACCCCAGAGCGGGAAGGCCGGAAGAGCCCCGAGCCTCCGCCTGCGCGCCCGTGCTGGCCCCCCCCCCCGCCGGCCCCCGGCCCCTCGCCGGGCTGCCCGCTCACTCCTTGATGTACAGCGCGTGCTTGCGCATCATGTAGCTTTTCAGGGTGGGCTTGATGATGAGGCCCGTGAACGCCGACCACCGCCGCGTCCGCTTGGCCGTCCGCTGCTCCGCCGGGGCCGGCACCTGCTGCGACTCGGCCAGGATGTCCGGAACGTGGGGCTGGACCATCGGCTGCAAGTCCGTGTACTGGATGCAGTGATAGATGCGGGGCTGGCGGGGAGGGGGCGGCACAGGAAGCTTGTTCAGCAGACCCCCGCAGGCTCGGACTCCAGGCCCACCCACTCCGGGCCACGCCTCACGGTGGACCTCGCTGAGAAACGCTGGGAAGCCAGCAGAAGCAGGAGCGACGGAGGCGCAAGCTGCAAGCCGTCCGGGGATCTTGTAGAACAGGACGGCTTGCAAAAGCTTTCAATCAATCAATCAATCAATAACACGGGCAGCACTGCCTGCTGGCCCCTCGCCCTCAACAGGGCAGGTGCAAGCAGGGCCGCCAGCTGTCCTGGTACCACCCGGAGGGGCCACTTTCCGTGCCTCGCCATTCGTACCTATAAATGCACTTTGCACTAAGGTCTCGCAGCAGAGCCACGGCAGCCCGAGGCGAAGGCGACGTTGGACGGACTAACAAGGAAGCCGCTGGCATCCAAACGACCAAGCGGTAAGTGGCAGGCCGAGCAAACCGCGGCCGGCCGGGTCACGCTCCAGGGAAAGCCGGGTAAAGAGCCGCTTTACAGCCCCACAGGCCATGCCCCCCCCCCGGTTCAGTGCGAGGCGGCACGGAGCGTGAGCCTGCAGCAGGGAGTCCCCCAGAGCAATGGGGCAGGTTTTCCATTTCCCTTTTCTTTGGTAGGCGTGATGGCAAAGCCCGCCAGCCAGGCACAGCCGCGCCTGGAAGGAGCAGCGCATGCCTCTTCCCGGACGCCGCCGGCTGTGGCTCTGCTCCCCGACGACCGAGTCCAGCCGCATGCAAGGCCAGGCTAATGCCACGCACGGCCTGGTCAGCTTCCAGGTGGCTAGTTGGCGCAGGGGCGAGGGCAAAGCAGGTGAGGCCCGGAGCCCTCAGGGAGCAGCCGAACGCCGGACGCGGGTGGGCGAGGCCCTGTGCCGCTGCGGCCTCCGGGGAGCCAGCGCTCCCGCAGAAGGGTGGAAGAGCCGCACCCCCGGCTCTGCCTTGCTGGGGAGCCGGCTGGGCTCGCTTACCTGATCCCTGCAGCCCACGTAGGCCTTCATCTCCGGGAGCTGCTTCAGCAAGGGCCGCGGCACCTTCGGCTTGTAGGAGTGGCCCAGGATCTCGCTCGCCTGGACGCGCCGGGACACAGAACGAGGAGGCGGGTCGGGGCGCCGGGGATCTCCGTGGTCATGCCCTCCCGGTCTGCCCCTCCCCGCTGCCTGGAGGGGCCTTGCCAAGCGTGAGCGCAGAGGCGGGGAGCCTCCGCCCCAGAGCCAAATTGCTCCCCCCCCCCGGGGCCCCCCCCCCCCTTTCCCTCCGCGGGGGGCCAGCGGCCTTCCCCCCCCCCCCCCCATCCAAAGGGGCGCAGAGCCTCTTCTCAGGCACCGCTGCTGCAGGAGGTGCACTCGGCAAAACCGGCACCTTTGCACCTTTGCCGCTCAGCCCATCCCACGCGGCTTTGCCGCCCCCCCACCGAAAAGCGGCCCCCGTGCCTGAGAGAGGCCCGCTGGCTCTCTGCATTTTCATCCCTGCCAGGACCTGGGCGGCTGCAGGGCTCCCCCTGCTGGCCTAATGCCAGAATAGGCCCCGGTGGTTGCAGGACTGGCCCCAGACTCGGCTGCCACTGCCAGCCCTGCAAGAGCACCACCTGGGAGCCCCGGGGAAGAGCCCCTGCAGACGCGTGCTGGAGCTCTCCGGGGCGCCCGGATCCTGCCTGCCGCTGGCCCTGGCCCTGCCCCTGCTCCAGGGGGACCCCTGCCCTCGCGCGCTCCTCCTGGCTCCTGACCTCCGGCTCTGCCACCTGGGCCACACTTCCCTGTGGTCCCCGGCTGACCCTGGCGTGCTCTGGCAACAGCCTGGACCTGGCCGGGGACCAAAAGCGGGCTTCGGCCCTTCGGTTTACTGGCCGCGTCGTCTGGCCCCTGGGGCCTCTGCTCGGCCTCCTGGCAAGCGCAGGCTCGGCCGGGACGCAAGACCCTCGGGGCCAAGCCCACCCTTTGCTGGCCTCACTGGGAAGCGTGGCGGGCGGAGGAAGGCGCACGAGGATCGCTCCGTGGTCAGAGGGGCAGTTGTGCTCCTCAAAGGCCCCGTCCCGAACCGTGGAAGTGCCTCCAGACAGAGGCTCCAAGGACCTTTTCCTCCAGCAGATTTTGTTGGCAGTAACTCCCACCTCCCCCCATGCAAAAAGCAGTGGGAATGCGTGGGGGGGTTAACGGCGGAAGGCTGCAGCCTCGGAAGCCCTCCTGGCCTAGCCCCGGAGGAAGCTCAGGGCACGCGCCAGAGCCGCCGTGCCGGAAGGGGCCTCTGCGGAGACACCCCCCACCCCGGGCTGCGGGGGCCGGGGCTTCCGGGCCCACCTGCCGCTCCGCTCCGCCTCCCGATGGCAAAGTTGGGGGGCGCAGGTGCTCAGGGCCCCCGCCGCTCACCTGCTTCCCCGACTCCTCCCACTTCTGGAAGGCGGCCTCCACCTGCTCCTCGGAGAACTGGGCCATGCGCGTCTCCTTCTGGATCATCTCCTGCATGCGGCTGGCGGCGTCGCTGCTGAGGGACGAGCCCACGTGCAGGAAGTCCATCAGCAGGGACTGCTGCCGCTTCTGCTGGCTCAGCGTCTGGACGATGCTGCGGGTGCTCCTGGGGAGGGGGGCAGCGGGGGCGTCAGCGGGCCGGCAAGCCCCCCTCAAGAGGGCCACGACTGGGGGGGCCCACCGCCATTCACGGGTCGCCCTCGTGCTCGAGGGTCACACACTCCGCGCCCTTCCGCACCCGCAGGCCCTGCTGCCCGGACACGGCCACCTTCCTCTCCAGCCCCATTGCAGGCCTTGGCAGCGGGGCAGGAGCCCCCAGAGGGCCCAGGAGGCGGCCACCGGCCCCCTGCCCGGCCCAGCCCCGCACTTGCTCGCTCGGCCGGAAGAGGGAGCGCCGGCACGGCCATGAAACAACGGGCGGGCGGGCCGGCCGGCCCTCTGGGGCTGGGGGTACAAGGCCAGGCCTCTTCTGCCGCCGCCGGTCAGGAGGGGACATGCCCCTTCCACACGCCGGGGACGGGTGTCTCCCGCAGCCACGGGGCCGCCCTGCCACGAATTGCCTCGCCGGGAGAGGGGGGGCCGAGCAGGCAGGGGCAGCCCGGCCCCTCCGCAGGGGCAGCAGCGGAGAGCAAGGGGAGAGACAGAGGGTCTGGACAGTGGCGAGCCCCGATCCGGCGGGCTCGCCACGGGGGCTTCGGTGGCAGGGCTCAGCACCGTGGCGGCGGCAGGACGTGGGAACGCGGCGGCAGGCTCCCGGCCCGGGACTGGGAGCCCACGGGCCCCACGGCGGCGGTGCTCCCGCCCGAGCGCCCCTCGAGCCCAGGGGGAGGGCCTCCCCGCCGCCCCTGCCCCCTCCCGTACTCACTCCCAGTGCGGCTGCCGGCCCTCGTTCAGGACCTTCAGGGTGTGCAGCGAGCCCACCCGGCGGATCTCCTCCGGCGGCTCCGGAGGCTCCGGGGGCGGCACCCCCAGCCTCCACAGCGAGTGCCCGAACGTCCCTGTGGGGCGAGCCGGAAGCAGACCTCCAGCCCCGAGCTGCAGCGGCCCCCCCCCCGCCCCGTGGGCAGAATCTGCCCCTCGGCTTGTCGCTGGCCCGGCCCCGCGCACAAGGCTGAGCTTCACCCGCGCTTTGGGCACCCCACGCCAGGGGAGGGGGCTGCCAGTTTGCCCCAGCTGTAGAGCTCAGCTCTCCCTGGACTCAGCGCCCCCTTTAAAAGCAGGACTGGCCCTCCCACAGGCCACAACAATGGCCATTCTTTCAGGGGAGGCTGCGAAGTCCATGGGGCGCCCACACGGAAGGCCAGCCATGGCCTGGCGGGACTTCCTGTGATGAGGGAGCGGGGCCCCAGTGCTCCCCTTGCGCACTGGGCCATTTCCAGGCTAGCAAAAACTGCCCGAAGCGAAGAGAACGAGCGCGGGCTCCCCAGAATCCAAGGGAGCTCAGGCACTGCTGCTCCTCTCCAGCTTATCCGCACAACAACCCTGTGGGGCAGGCTAGGCTAGGCTAGGCTAGAGGCCTGTGACTGGCCCAGTCACCCAGCGAGCCGAACCCGGCTCTCCCGAGTCCCAGGCTGACACTCTACCCACTTCACCACACTGCCTCGCCCTACCGCGTGAGACTGACCTACGTGCCTTCCGGACAGCATCCAGAGCTTGATGGTGCAGTCGTGGCTGGAAGTGAGGATCACGCGGAACCTCTCCACATATTTGATGCTGACCACGTTCTTCAGGTGTCCCCTCCACGAGCTCAGGCAGACGGGGGGAACCAGGGAGGTCACCCGGCCGCCGTGCACCTGCAGAAGCAGCAGCCCATCCCACTCAGGGCGGAAGGTCGCCGGCGGGCACAGAAACGGGGGCCCTGGAGGGGGCGCTGCGCCCCTCCCTTGCAGCTGGAGTGCGCGGCCGCGGCAGCGTCCTGGGGGTGGGACGGCGTCAGGTTCCCGGGCCCTGGCCCACCTTCCTGGGGTCGTGAGCCTGACGGCCAGGTGAGCGTGCTGAGCATTTCCATGGCACTCACCAGAACCGAGACCGCCACGCAAGCGCACACGCTCGCGGCCTCTGTGTGTGCTGCTGCGCGGACACGGACGAAGGCTGGCGGCTTCCTCTCGGCTTGGCTCGCTTTCTAGAGCGCCTCAGCCTCAAGGGCCAAGTCCAGCCCTCCAGGGCTCCCAGAAGGACATGGAGATGCAAGGGCATGATTTCTGCACCAGGGCCAAATTTATGGCCAGGCCCAGGGCGACTCTGCCCAGATTCCAAATTAGCATCCGTGCGGCAATACTAGCGCAAGCGTTTTCCAAGCAGCTGCTGAGCCGATGGCTGGGACCAGACAAAGCGGCACGCCATGGTGGGTTTGGGGCGCTGTCTCAGCCCAGTCTTGGCACTTCACCATGGACACCTTGGTCTTTGGAATCCACGATAAGAAACAATGGTTTATTCCATGGCTTCTCTGTGCAACCGTGGCTAGCTGTGTGGCCTGAACCCAGGATCATGTTTTCCAAGGTCCCGGTGCGCAGGAGCCACTCCAGCCATCCAGCCTGTATGCATGGAACAATGAGGACGAGGCAGACAACACAGGAAAGAGTGGTGCACCATGGGACTGGAGTTCAGGTGCAGTGGCTGATGGGACACATGCCAACAGTGGGAGGAGGGAGGCCACTTGATGGTGTGACAGGTGGATCGCGGTGAGAATGAGAAGCTGGAAACTGCGGAAAGCACGCGGGGCTGCTTGCCGTGTTGTGTGAACGCAGCCAGCAGGCGCCCAGGCGGCCGCTCGCCTCTTCTGGAAGTCCGCTCATCTCGCCTGGAAGCCGCCCAAAGGCGGGGTGCCCGCAGCACTACTGACCTGCCTAGTGATTCCATGGTCCTGGAATTTTGCCGGAACTCTGCAGTACTCGGGGATCAAGTCATAGAAGTAGCTCCGCTCACGAGGGGCTTCGCTGCTGACATCCAACACAGAATCCTTTTCCTCCGCTGTTGTGCAGTAATTCATGATGTCCCAGATCTGGGGGGGGGGGGGGGGGGGGGGGGCGGGGAGAGCACTCAGAGGAGCCCGCCTGCCTTTCTGTTGATGCTGTCGCCACTGCCTTCTCCCAGAAAGCCTCAGGATGGCCAGTTACAGCCACTGGCCCAGGCCGCCCCCAACCTTTCAACCCTTAATGCTTGATCTTAGCGCTGAAGACAGAACGGTGCTGAGAAGGGCAGCGGATCGAGCGATCGACGCCACCCTTGGCTCGCAGCCCCTTCCCTTTCTCTGCGCGCAAACCCGGAGTGGGGCCAGGCGAGGCCAGAACGCCCAGCCAGCCGCTGCGCGGAAGCCAGCGCAAGGCGGAACGGGGCACCGACCTTGATGTAGCCTAAGGAATCTCCAGTGAAGAGGACCAACTCGCTGTCGTCCGTGGACATGGTGCAGACGACCACCGCGTCCCGGGCTCTCCCGTGGGCCCCGTGGAACTTGCCCATCATTCCGCCTTTGCTGCCGACCGCCCAGGCGTAGATGTACCCGTCGGCACAGCTGGTCAGCAGAATGGCGGTGTGGGGACCGCGCTCGCACGTGCTCAGGAAGAGGACCTGGAAAAGCCAAGAAGAACCTGTCCCGGGCAGGCCGAGAGAAACGCCCAGTAGGCCAGACAGCTGGTCCCAGGGCCAGCGACACATCGCCCGGGAACCAGCCAGCCAGAAGAGCCAGGGGCCCCTGAAGACCTGTTGCCCACCCCCGGGAAGAGAAGGGGCCAGGAGGAAGGTTGCTGGCCTGGCCATTTGCACAGGCTGACCAAAGGCTCCTAGGAAGGGCTGGGTAGGAGAGCAGATTCTGACATTGCCTGTGGATTGAATGGCAAACGCAGCCCCTCCCAGAAGGAATTAACCAGGGCTCTGCTGAGGCCTATCTGATGGACGAATGGGCCAGGCGTGGTCTCATTCAGGCTCTCCCTTTCCCAGCCAAGGTTTGCTCTCCTCCAGCCCCATGTTTTCCCACACACAGAAATGCCCACCCGCCTCAGCGCTTTCCAGGATGCATCCCTTGTGCTTGCGCTTGCGTATCCATTGCCGTATCCATTGCCACATGCACGCTTTGGCACATTTTTCAGAGATGTGCATTCCCCCCCCCCCCGTATTTTAAATTTTAAACATGTATTCAAATGCTTGGAGGGTTGGGGGAGGAGTTGGGGGTTAAAAATACATCAGAAATGCATGAATTTCTCACCACTGGGGCCGTTTATGCATCCAGGTCAGGGTTTGCTTCCAGGAGCTGGAAACTGGGTGTTCTTGCATAGAAATGCAAACCTGACACATTTCTCACCTGTCCTAATTCTCAGCAAAGATGGCCCTACGCAGAGGGCTTCCAAGGCGGAAGAGCAATGGAAATGTAACTGTAAAAAATGCATGTATGCCGAGCAAAGGCATTGGATGGCGGGGTGGGGAGGCCGTGAAAAAAGCAAAGATTCACAGCACATCTAGCATGAAGCTAAATACGGGGAAGCAACGCAAAAGCAGCTGAACACGGTTGCAGCTTATGGGAAATGTACGATCCAGTTCACTCTTCGAACCCAGTGCAGATTCCGGAAAAGAGGCTGCTAACCACACACCACAAGTGTCCTGTTCCTGCCACGGACTCCAGAAACCCTTTCCCAAAGGCCATCAGCTGCCCGTTTGCCTGCGAGGTCTCCCGTCAAGGCTGGGGAGAGGAAGCTCCCGCTGTCAAAGGCCCCCCGGGTGAGGTGCTCACTAGTCAATTGATTGAGCAGAGAAGAACGTTGATAGCAAAAGTCTTTGTAATTCATTCATTATTAAGGGAGTGACGGTCCAAAGACTGGAAAGAAAACTGTGCTGTCTTGAACTTGGGCTTTGAAACCCATGCAAAAGACATTTACATCCAGATGTTCTGGTTTAGATAGGACTATAAAGGGCAGCTCCAGAGCTGAGTGAGAATGGATAAGGGCTCAGCTGCAGACTGAGCCCTTTGCAGTAACTTCAACAAAAAAGTGGATCTTCAAAATCTGTGATTTCTATTCCCAGTGCAGGCTTGTATCTCTCTGCGAACTGAATATTCCCTTTCAGAGACGTAGGGGAAATGTTGCGCTTTCATTTACCAGACTGAATCACAAGGAGACGGGCATTTTTCTTCCTGGGTGGACACTCTGCTTTAGAGAATGGGGGCCTATGAACACTTTTCTGGTCCACTGCCGGAGAAGCCGAGGGGACCGCAGGGCGAGCCCAGGACTGCCCCCACCATGGGACCCCCTCCGCAGCACCGCCCCCAAGCCTTCGCCGCCCCCCCCCCAGAATCTGCCGCCCGAGGCAACGGCTCTGCTCTGCCTCAGGGTAGGGTCCACTCTAAGAAAAAGCTGGGGGGGGGGGGGCTGCTGTTTTTACTGCCTTGCAAGGTGGTGCTTAATTGGCTTTTGCCTGAGAAAGAAAGCGGTTAAAAGGTGATTGGCTTCTCCTCCCTTTCAGAGACAAGGCTTGAATGACGGAGGCAGCAGCATTTTCACCTGACCACCTCGCCCCGTTCAGCGCCACGCTGCAAAAGGTCGCGTGGGCACGGCCAGTTTGCTGCCAAAACGGACAACGAACTTCTCCGGCAGCCTAAAGCAGCCGGATTTCCCTCGTGCTGAAGGCAAAGCAGGCACTCTGCGGCCAGGGTACGGTTCGCTACTTGTGCAGAAGCCGAAAAAGGGGACCTCCTGCGAAGGCGGGCGAGATTCGGCTTTCCCGGCCCCGCAGGGCTCCTCGTTCTTTGCCTCGGGCAGAGTGCGGCCCGCGGAGCGAGGGACCGGCGGGTGCCACGAGTCCGGCTTTCCCGTGCTGCTTCCAAGCAGATCTAACGTCGCCAAACACAGGAACAAATGAGAGCGGCGCAGCTCCCTGGCCCACGTGCTCAGAGGCCGGACCTTGTCCCTCCCTGGGACTGAGGCCCGGGCGCAGGGCAGAGAGACCGGCGCCACTGACCTTCTCGACGGCCACCTGGCAGGCACGGACTTCCTCTTGCCAGCTGGGTGCCTCTTTCCTTGACACGTGGCTCTCAGCAACACCGAGGCCGTGGGAGAAGGTGCTGCTCTTGCTGCCCCCTTCGGAGCTCCACCCCACCTGCGAAGTCACGAGAAACGTGGCCGCTCCCCGTCTGGCCACAGGCGGTCCTGCAGGCTGCCTATCTCACCTGGGCGGCCCAACCCGGCCACCCGCGGAGGAGGTCCGCCTTTCTCTGGAGCCTCGGGAGAAACCGGTCCCCCCTTTTGCTCTCTGTGGTCAACGAGGGAGGGGGCACTTGAAATGAAAAAGCGGCTGGATGGCAGGGTTGAACCGTGCCCCCGTGCCCTCCCCCCCTACACACCGCGGTCTTCGGCTGGATGGAGCAGGGGCGCTGGGGCCAAACTCAACGAAAGCACCGGGACCTCCACCCGCAAGGCATTTAGGGTCGCAGATAACGGAGGGAGCGCGAGCAGAGGAAGACTTCTCGGGGTCCAGGCCATCTAGCCACCGGGGGCAATGGGTGCCGGGCTGGATGGACCCCCACTTGGGCCCCCAGGGCTCTTCTGCTCACCAGGGTGGGCCGCCTCACCCACCAGCCTAACCCAGTCCTCCGGGGCCCGACAACCGGGGTGCACCCCCTCCCCCTGCAGGCCAGCGCTGGGCGGTTTCCCTCCTCTGTGGCGTTCGCCCCCTGCACGAGGGTCCTGAGGCAGCGATCCCAGCGGGAAGAGCCGGCAGCTGGCCGGGCTGGAGTCCCCACCCCCCTCGCTGCCTTGGCACGCTTTGCCAGGGCCTTCTGGGAAAGGGAACTTGGCCCCACGTCCCGCCTCCGCCTGGTGCGCTGGGAGTGCAAGGGCAGAGCGGCCCCCTGCTCTGCCGCCGTCCCCTTCGAGGAGCAGCCCCCTCGGCTGGCCCCACTTCAGGGCTCCTGCGAGGGGGCGGAGGCAGCGGGCGCCCTGCCAAGCCGAGGGGTGGGAGGTTGCCGGGCTTGCCTTTGCCTGTTTCGCTCGGGGTGCACGAAGGGTCGGTTCCCCCACGAGGCGACCCCGAGTGGACGCACAATCCATGCAAATCGGCACGAAACAAGCGGCCCGCAGCCCATGCCACACGCCGGCGCAGAGCAAAGGCTGAGCCTATTCACGCAGGAGGGGCCTCCGTGGCTACGAGCCTGGCTGGCCACGGGCTTCCCCAGAGGCGGCATCCCTGCGTGCTCCAGTTGCTTTGGGGCTGGGCAGGAGGGGTCTGGCCCCCTCCCGCTGGAGGGCTCCGGGGCAGCTGCCCAGATCCAGCAGGGCTCTCATGTCCCCGGAACCCGAGCTCAGGCTCCCTGGCCTCCGCGCGGCGGCGCACACTGTACCTGGGGCGGCATGTCCCGGCTCCCGGGCAAGGCAGCCTCCGGCCTCCTGCCGTGCGACGAGGCCGCACTGGCGGGCCTGGGCAGGGGCGGGCACCCCGAGGGCAGCGCCGTCCTCGAGAAGGCCCAGCGCTTCTTCCCGCCCTCGCCCTGCGCGTCAGCTCCCTTCTTGAGATCCTCGTTCGGTGCGGGGCCTTCCACCTCCACAGAGAACACCTGGGAAAGGGGACACCTCCGTCTGCAGCAGCCCGGTCCACAGCATCCTCCCCATCCCTCCCCCCCTCCCTCCCAGCGGTGGCGCTCAGAGCATTCACTCAGGCAGCCCAGCAGAGCAAACCATCCAGCCTGCCCCAACACCTGCGCAAGGTCGTACCTGCTGGAGCACCACCTGTGTGGCAGCTTGCCCACCACGGAGAACATCTGGAGCAGTGTGCGACCTCTCAGGGGGCAGCAGGCAAGGGGGTGGGAGAGGGTGGCTGGCAAGAGCTGAGCAGGGCTGCCCCGGACGGGGCACCTGGGGCCATCGCTCGCGGGGGGGCCACCACAGCCTGCCAACGACTGGGTGGCACGTAAGGACCGCCAAGGAGGGGGTCTCACTTCAGAGCCCCGTGCAAACAGCTGAGCTCCGCTGGGGAGGGGGCCTCGGGGCGGTGGCTGAGCCTTCGGGGGACACGGGCCTTGGTGGGGGATCTGACCGAGAGACGCCCACACGGGGCTTCACGCGCATGAGGACAGTCTCCTGGGGGAGGAAGAGCGCTTCGGGGGCTGAGGGCGGGCGAGTCGGAGGGTGGGGCTCGTGGGGGTGCCACAGAGGATGGACGGGCGGAAGGAAGGTCTCCGACCCGCTCTTCATGCCCAGGGGCAGTGGTGGCCGCCATCTTGGATGGGCTTAAAAGGGCTGGGTGAATTCCTGGAGGAAAGAGCGGCCAGTGGCCCCCCGTCCCACGTCCCCAGGGTGTGCCTGCATCCCCCAGGGGCGGAACAGGCTGCTGCACTCCCACCCCCCCTGTGGGCTCTACCCTGGGGCAGCTTTGGCCACCCTGGGGCAGAATGCTGGACCAGAGGGGCCCCGGTCTGAGCCACCAGGGCAGGGACGCTGGGGCACGGGGTGGGGGGAGGAAGGGGGCAGTGTGTGCTTTGGCAATACGGCTGGCGGGGGGACGGGACCCAGGAGTGGCCGCAAACCGGTGCGGGGGTTTAAGGAAGGGGTCACACGATCCGAGCAACAGGAGAGGGGAATTAGTTTGCCATAAGAAGAGGCACAAAGGTCAGAGGATGAGGCTGGAGTGGAGAGCAGACAGAAACAGGGCAATTCACAGACTACTTGGAGGGAATACGAATTGCATATTGGAAAGGATAAACTGGGGTGACAAATCTGGCAAAGATTATTTCTGCTAACTCTCAGCACGTGAAAGAGGGACGTGCAATAGAGTGAGAATAGGCCAATACGGCTAAATTTGCGCACTACGTAAGACCAAAGAAGCCACCCTGGGGTATAATCGGTTTAACGAGAGCTGGCCAGTGCTTAGGGATTCAGGCAGGGTAACAAAGCTTGCCTGGTGAGAGGAAATGTTGACTGTTTCCCAGTTTTTATAGCAAAATCTGGAAGGACAAGTGGAACGATGCATTTAGCGGGCAGCAGGGGGTCCCTCGCACCGGTGCGCTGCCTCAAGGGACGCCACGGCCAGTGGATCTCCCCGCCACTCCGGGAGCAGCCCGTGAGGGGAAGTGCCCGGCAGGGCGGGCGATGCGCTGCTCCACAGAGAGGCTCGGCCCTGCTCTGGCCTCGCCCGGCGGCGCTGCACCCCGGGCCGCTTCCGGGGGAGGGCCGCACGGAGCGAGGCCGAGCGTACCCGCTTGGGAAGGAGCACCAGCGGGCTCTCAGAGGCGTTGAAGCGGCAGAAGGCCTGCCCGGAGCTGACGTTCCAGAGCACGATGTCCCCGTTGCAGGACGCGGTCACCAACAGCTTGCCACGGTAGCTGTCCATGCTCAGGATGTCGTCCGAGTGGTAGGTCTTCCAGTGCTTGCAGTCCACCAGCTTGTGCTCGTCCTTGGTGTCCCTGGGAGCAGGCGAGGCTGCCCGTCAGTGCCCGGCCGCGAGAGGAGCGGTGAGGACCGCGAGGTGCCGCCCCCTGCCCCCCAGACGGCGTGGGGGGCGGAAGCACAGCCCGTCCCTTCCCGTAGGACTCTCTTTTCCAGATCTCTTTGGCACGTTGGATCCCCTGTCTCAAAAGGCCAGGTAAAGCCGCCCACAGGGCAGAATCCATCGGAAGCGCACCCTGCGAGGGTCGCTTCGGCTCGCATGCGAGAACTTCCCAGTGGATCCGTCACTGGGAAACGAGGGGCCGCTTCCGGAATAAAGAAGGCACCAGGACGCCCAGCCACGGAACCGCCTCCCTTGCGCATCGTGGCCCCGAATTGCACATGCGCGCACTCCTGTGCCAGATGGGAGTGGAAACAAGCCCCCTTCTCCATTCCGATCAGCAAATCCTTGGTCTTTTTTCAAAGCCGTTCTCTGGTCCTTTGAACTGGGCTGAAGCTCGGACCGCGCGCATGCAAGGCCAGTGATCTGCTACCAAGCGGAAGCCCCCCCTCACCTAAACTGTGTCTCTCCCACCGCCGCCCCCCCCCATGGAATGGAAAGATTTGCAAGGGGCAGGGCTGAGCAGGGCGAACTGAGCCCGGTGCTTCCTACTTACAGGTAACATGTCACTCGCTTGCTCCACCCGGAGACATAAATTTTGTGGTTCAGGTACAGGATGCAGCTGATCTGTCCAAAGACACCAAAGCATCAGTGCAGAAAGTGTGTGCGTTACTCATGGCGACGATCCAGCGGCGACCAGAAACGCACACCCAAGCTGCGAGGCAGGCTGGGGTCCACGGGGTACTCTGCAGAATTTTGGAGGGCTGGGTCGGAAGCATTTTCTGACCCAAAGAGGACTTTCGCCACGGCCGGTCAGGCACGGACTGGCAGCCGAGCCCCCTGGGGGCTTCTCCCACCTGGAGAGGCTGGGGAGACTGTGGGGCGCAGGCTCTCCACTGAGCCACGTGGAAAGGCGTGCAACGCTCCCGGAGTCCCAGCGCCCCCACGGAGCCCCCTCCCCGCGGCGGAGGGCTGCCCTGCCCGCGCCCTGGCCCCCCGCTGGGCCGACCTCGTTCCTCCCCTCAAAGGGCAGCTCCATCAGGCAGGCGCCATTGTTGAAGTTCCACAGCTTGATGGACTCGTTCTTCAGGGCCGTGATCAGCCGCCTCTCCGGCGTATCGAAGGCCATGGCCGTGATCTCCACCGGGTTCTCACGGGAGGTGAAGAACTCCATCATCTTCTGCCCGGTCATGATGTCCCAGACACTGATGATGCCACTGTAGCAGCCACTCACGGCCTGTGGGGAAGCAGCAGGGAAAACGAGCATCGGGCACCAGTGCATCCCTGGGGTCGCCCCACGGGGCGCGTGCCTCCTCCCCCAGCTTTCTGGGGCAGTTTCCTGGGTCAGACCAACCCCCTCCCCCCTCCCTCCTGCAAGCAGGGCCAGCCTGCTGCAGACCCCAAAATCTGCATTTCTCTACCCCTTCCGGGCTCTCTCAGCTGAAGCAAAAGAAGCTACAGGAGAATTCACCCGGCTAATCGTGAGTAGTTGGAATTCTCCCTTCCCGGGAGCTGCTCAGCAGTCAGACCGAGACCCGGCCTGTGGAATCCTTCGTTCCTCTGCAGGGGCTCGGCAAGGCAAGGGCTCCTCCGGGTCCTGCCTCCCATGGAGACGCGCCCTGCCCCGAGAAGCTGCTTTGCAAGGTGCTCGCCCTGCACGATGCCCAGGCAGCAGGACTGGGAGCCGTTAAGCTGCAGCCTTCCAGCCCAGCTTTCCACTTGCCCAGCGGTTGACCGGCTGCCCCGCTGGGGAGCCCGAAGCAGTGTGGCCATTTTGCTCCTTCCAAACAGGCCAGGACAAAGCTGCAAGGACACCAAGCTGAGGGGATTTATTGTGATTAAGCTGGACAAGCGCGCCTGGCTTCACAGTACAAAGGAAGAGCGTTGCAGCGGGAGAGAACAAAAGGAAAACCATCAGAAGAACCGCCTTAAGGGAATGCAGCTTCATGAAAAGCAGCGGATGCCAAGCGAACGCCACTCCCGCTTCCAAAGGACACGGCGCAAGCAGGCCGCATTTTCCAGGTGTGTCCTCCCAGTTCCAGGGCCAATTACCTGCCGCACCTGATGTCTCAGCCAGTGCACCTTAGTAGCCTGGGATTCCTGACCTTCGGTCCACACACCTCCATCCCAGTTTGACGACTAATTTTTCCCCCAGAATTTAGAACTGCCGGATCCTCTGGTTCATCTCTGAGCCCTTCCGTCTGGGCAGTCCAGCTGCAGATTCCGGCCCCGGCCCTCAGAATCGGGGTCCACAACCTCTTTCAGAGGAAGAGCCAGTCATCGCTGGCCTATGCTCCCCAGCAGCTGGTGTGAGAGGAGCCGGCTGGTGCCAGAGGTCAGACTAGATGGCCTGGGAGACCCCTTCTGACTTGCTCTGTTTCTGTGTTCCTATGTAGCTGGCTTACTGGAGGTAGCATAGAGCCATCAGAACAAGTAAGGAAACTGGGAATTTGCCCACCCCCCATGTTAAGCCATTGAAATGGGGGGCCCTTGTTTCGCCTTGCAGAAGGTGAATTCCACAGTGAGACTCGGTCCTGTGTAAAGAAGGCCTTCCTTTCACCTCTCGCCCATCAGCATCATGGGAGTCATTTGGGTTCTAGAATTACAGGAGAGGGAAGAAACCATGAATAGGACCAGGTTCCACAGCTGCGGTGCCACCACCGAGAAGGCCCTTCCCTGGGCAGCCACCCTTCTGGGCGCTTTCAAAGACGGCTCTGAGAGACCTTGGCAGACTTTGCCAAAGCCTTTGGGAAGACTGTGTAAACAACCATGCCGACCAGGTCGCCCTGTCCACGTGCTCATGGATCCCCTCAAATCCGCAAAGCGGGACTCGGACTCACCGGGTGCCAGTGAGCTAGCAGGATGCTTCATGGGATATCGAACACCAGCTGGCCATTTCCAAACATTCCTGCGCTTGATGCTTTGAAACACTGACCGGCCTGCACAGCAGCGCCCGCCCTGGAGTCCACCCAGCTGCGCGCGAGCTGGTCCTTCGCCTCACCTGCTTGAAGTTCTTGTTGTACAGAGCACAGCACACCGGCTGCTCGTGGGACTTGATTTCTGCTTCGGAAAGTTCTGCTCCGAAAAACAAACCGAGCTGCGGAAAAACGACACCGAAGAGCACAGGAGGCGGAGGTGAACTCCTCACAAAGGAACCGATCACGCACCGAAAGGCATCGCAGGACTTCTGGGCAGAGCGGGGAAGGGACCGCCTCGGCCAACAGCCCTCGACGCCTCCTCAGCAAGCATGTGCTGAGCAACGCGCGTGCTGCAGGAATCAGGGCCGAAACTCCCAAAACTCCACCCCAAGATGGTGCCGATAAGTCATCCTTCGCCAGACTTGTGATTTCATGCTTCTGTGTGGCCGTACTAATTGTTCCCTACATATTTTTGTAGGCCCGGCACGGTGCGACGGCGGAAGAACGGGGTGGGGCTGAGAAGACGGCATCCTGTTGCTATTGCAGCTGGCCAGCTGCTCCCAGCACCATTCCTTGGCAGACCCGTGGGCCGTCAGTGCTCAGGACCCAAAACATCCACACGCAGCCACCTGTGTGTGGCCTTCGTGGCCTGATACCCCTCCCTCTGGTGCTTTTCCCGAGCTTGCTGGCCCTGCTATATTCCTCCCTGTTCTGCGATGCCTTGTATAGTACTGGCTTCTGCATACTTAATGCTGTGCTATTCTTTTGATTCTCTTTTAATTAACTTAAGACCTACAGCCAAAGGGCAGCATCTTAAGTCCTTCATACACAAACTACGCAAGCCGCAAAAGCTCCCTGAAGAGGGATATTACGTTGCGTTGACATGATTGCACGTACAGGACAGATCTGTTGGGAAGCCCATCCTTTCAAAACGCATTTTGATCCGCTCGGTGGAACGGCTCTGCGGCGGCCCATTTCAGCGAACGGGCCACAAACAGCGTGCCACGAGGCCGGCATGCGCCGAGCGCGAGGGGGCTTCTCCTGCCCCGTGCACACGAGTGCGACGCCCCCCGTCCCCAAGCCCCGCTCACCGTGTACGTGGCGCAGACCAGGAGGTTGCTGGCCTGGTGGTAGAAGGCCGCCGAGATGGGGAAGTTGCCCAGCGGGACGTTCCTGCCGTGAATCGACTGCACGCAGAAGTGGTCCAGCAGGTCCCAGACGCGGATGTTCTGGGGGCGGCAGGGGGGCGGCGAGGGAGCTGAGGGCCTGCCGCGTCGGTGGCCCCCGGGACCAGCAGCCGGCACGGCCCTCTCCCTTGCTGGCACCAGCCCGGCAGCAAAGCAAGCAGGCGTGTACCCAGCCCTGGGCGCGTGCGGCCAGAACCCAGCCGTGCTCGGGGCGGACGGGAAGCCTGCGCTCGCCGGTGGGCCAGCAGCTCCGAGCCAGGAGGGACCCCCGCCAGCCAGGCCCCGCCCCCCCCGCCCCGCCGCTCCCTACTTTGTCCTTCGAGATGCTGACGATCGTGTTCCTCTGCTCGTTGATCATGATGTGGGTGACGGCGGTGGCGTGGCCCTTCATGTGCGTGATGGGGCTGCTGGTGACGTACGGGTTCCACACGCGGATCAGCGGCTCGTATCCCCCCGTCACTGGTGGGAAAGAGGGGAGGCGGCCAGGATGATGACCGCCGAGGAAGCGCGCCTCCGCGCCACTGGCGCAGCCTCCGCCCGCGTGCACATTCGCTTGGGCATCCGCGTTCCGCTGCTCCGCAAATCCCCTCGGCATGGCCGGCCCAGCAGCGGGAGAAGCCAGCGGGGCTGACGCAGGCCAAACCCGAGATGGGTGGGCTCCACCGAGGAGGCTCAGCCTGAGACCCTCATTCACAGGGCCCCCGTAAGCCAGAGGCAGTGCGACAGCACACCACAGCCACAACTAGCACCAGACCCAGCGCCCGGTGAGGCTCCCTGGGAAGGGTATTCCAGATGCGGGCCGTTCGGCCAGCCTGACTGGGGCCGAAGGGTTCCAAACATGCGGACAGAAGGCCCCAGGTGTGTGTGGGGGGGTGCTGCCTGGAGGTGCCCTGGAAGTCCCAAGCTCTGTAGGGCTTCAAGGTCGACACACCTTGGATTGGGCCCAAAAGCAGGCTGGGAGCAAGCGCGGCTCTTTTTCACGCCCTGTCCCAGCTGCAAAAATCCAAGCCGGGATGTCACGGAGCAGGGAGATCTCTTCATGTCAAGCCCTTTCCGTCCAGGAGAGGCCGCAGCCACTGGAAGGGGCATCGTGCCATCAGGGGCCCTGGGCTCCCACGGACGGGCAGGTCCAACCAGCCCGGCCACTGGCGGAAGGGGCAGCCTTTCCCATGCAGGCCGCACCTCTCCGCCTGGCACGGCTGAGCCGGCCGCGGCCGCAGCTCCATACCCTCCAGACCGAGCGCCAGCCCGTCCGGCCCAGGCAGCGCTCATCAGCCCCAGGCCCGGCCCCCGGGAGCAGCAGCCGGGCCTGAGCGCAGCGGGGCGGAGAGACGCTTCTGCCAGATGCCACACGGGCAGCGCCGGGCACTGCCCAGCCCGTTCCGGGAACATCGCTGCCCTCCTTCCCCACAGACCTCCCACCTGCGCAGCCCCAGAACACGTACCGAGGATGTTCAGTTCCGAGGAGTAGTCGAAGCAGAGGATGCCTTTCCGCAGGACAATCTGAGCTGACCTGGGACAGACAGACAGACAGACGGGCAGAGGGGAGAGAAGCCCCCGGGGCATTGGCGGCAGCTGCCGGGCACTTTGCTCCTGCACTAAACCCATTCAGTCCTTCACTCATCGAATCAAAGCCATTTTGGGGTGAGGAGAAGCAGCAAAGCCCGGCAGTTAACTCGCACCCCACAAAATGCCCGTTTCCTCCTGAGCGCTCCATTCTCTTTCTCTTTAACAAAGCAAGCAGCGAGCAGACTTTGTGGCATTTGCAAAAAGCGTCACCTCTTGCAGAGCCACCCCCGGAAAAGTCGGTGAGCATCTCGGCGTCACAGCACCCGATCCGAATCCCGGCAGGAAGGCACGGGCGGGCGGCGTGTGCGCCCAACGCCATGCGCCTCATGGGGCCACCTTTTGCCCAGGGAACTCCGGCCACCCCAAGTTCACGCCGAGTCCTCCCGTGGTGCCCGTGACCAGACTCCCGCGTTCTGCCACTTCTCAGGAGGCCATCTGGGGCTGGGCCTCAGGGGCCTGCCGGTTCGGTCTCCTTCCTGACCCCTGGGAGGAAAAGCCCGCTGCGCCCACAGGTCTTTGCTGCCGGAGTGCGAATGGCTTCACTGGGCTTGGGCGGCACCAGCAGCATCCACAGCAGGCGTGGGGAGAAGCCTCACCCTCCACCAGCGGAACTTTCTGGAAATCACCCCCTTTCTGCTGCCTCCACCGTCGCCCCCCTCAGAGCGGCACAGCTAAGCGGGACCCCTGCCAAGCCCCTGCTTCGAGAGCCTTCCATTCAGCGGCCCCTTTGTCCCCTTTGGGACCCCCACTTTTCTGCAGTGCCCCCCCCCCAGCTCCCTGGCTCCGTTCTTCCCCCGTGTGCCAAGAGTCTGTGTGGACTGGGGCGTGGGAAGCGGGAAGAGCACAGGGAGGGCGGAAGCTGCCATGTATGGGGCCGGCCCCTGGTGTGCCTGGCCAGCATTGCCGGCCCCGTGGGCCCCTGGGGATCCAGTCTGGACCTCCCCGAGCCCCTTCCAGCTTCCCCATGCAGAGTCACCAGGAGAGGTTAGGGGCCGGCGGCAACGGTCTCGCGCGCCTCCGCCAGCCGCCCCTGTCTTTGGCCTACCAGCCCCCCGCCCTCTCTAGACCGGGCACGCACTGCAGAGGGCCTCTCCCCAAAGCCTTCCCCAGGTCTTCCTCCATTTTTGCGGAGGATTTTAAAGCAAGGCCAGCCGCGTTCTGCCTTTTAAGCTGCAGCAAACAGAACGCAAGCCCCGCGCACGGCCACGACGCAGCGACAGCACCCTGTGGCCTTGTGCTTGGTCAAGAGCACCTGCAGAAAGGCTGAGAAATGCAAACAGTCCGAGGAGACGCTTTCCTGCCTCAAACAGAACGGAAGCGGCCTCAGCGGAGCCGCAGGTTCGGCCCCCTCATGGGGAAAAGCCTGAAGACGCCAAGCTCCGGGACACGTCCATGCTCCACCTTTAAAAGGCCCCTCTGAGCATCAATGCTGCAAGCCCGCAGCTGCACTTTCAGGCACGCGCACATGATGACTGGCATGCTTGGAAAGATCCGTCCAAAATTCAAAAGACTGAAGAGCACCCAACATGCCGAATTACTTAGCACCGAGCAAGCAGAAGCGCCAGAGCCGCGAGTCCCGGCATCTGTGCAAGCAGCTAGTTGCAGGAGCTTGTGGTTTGCAGCTAGCGATGCATTGCATCCCATGTCCTGTGCAATGTGCCATCTAAAATGCACGGATGGAAGCACACGGAGGGCCTATTTAATTTATGCTCCACCCTGGGCTGGTTTTTTAGCGCACTCTGCCGGTAATGTGTGCCGAGACGTTTATTCGATCTAAGGAAATGGACTGGGTCAATTTCGTTTGCTGCATTTTTGGTCGTATTTTATTGTTTTAATTTGTTGCAAGAACGTCCTGGGAACCTTTCTAGACAAGGCAGCAGAAAAAATATTTTAAACGGAATGTAGCCCAACGCTGCCCTCTGCTGCCCACACGCTGAACTGCCAGCGTGAATTCTCCACAAATAAGATTCAGGTTACACAACGGACCCCGGAGTGCTTGATCTACACTATTTTTGTTCCCGCTGACGCACCCCCAGAAAGCCCGGCGGACCTGCAGAAGCAGTCAGGAAATCCATTTCAGCGTGTCTTACTGTCATTGTTCTTGAACAGGTTTTTTTGTAATTATACCCTGTGTAATTTTATACATTTTTGCTTTGTCCTCTTTTTGAACTGCTTCTGGCTATTTGGTGGCATTGAATGAAGCGCATGCAAGGAAATGGCGCCTTCAAATCCACTCGACGGTGCAGGGTCAAAAACGGGGTGGGGGCTCAAGAGTCCTTAGCAACAGGGACCTGTGAGTTTGTGCTGGGTGTGCTTGAGACCCCCCCCCAAATCCCAGGGATATTGCTGCAAAAAGCAGGGTCTCGAGCCCCTTCCCGCAAGCTGTGATTCCACAGGAAGTGGCTTTCGAAACACCTGCCCCCCCCCATTTGAAAGGTGTGAAATGCTTCAGAGGAAGGGCGAGGGAAGGGGAGAGGGTGCGGGTAGACTGGGCCCCCCAGCACCCCCCCCACCCTGTGCAACCCATTCTTGCTCTCGTGTAACTGCAATCGCCCACTGTGCACAAAGTTAGCAATATCCCTCTTTTAGGCACTGATTTTTGCAAAAACTATCATGCAAAATCTGGCCGCAGGGAGCCAAAAACCGGGCGGCACGAGGGCAGGGAGGGAGCAGAGCCATTCCGCTCCGGCAAGCCCCCTCGGCTCCCACGGGAGGACGCGCCGGAGGAGGCGGTCGCAGCGCCGCGAGGCACCAGGCCCAGGACAGCCGGCCCATGTGGCTTGGCCTGAGGCACCGTGTGGGTCCCTGTGTTGAGAGAACCCGCAGCTCTCGAATCTGACGACCCCCTCGAGGCAGCAAGCTTGCTTTGTGACGATTTGTAGTTACTAAACCCTCAGAGAAGGGGTCAAAGGGCCAGGGCAAGTGCCTACGGTCTTTACGACACCCTTGCAAAGTAGGACGGCCGCATGATTCCCCTACTGCGCATGCAGGGAGGGCTGAAGCTTGCCAAGGGCCATGAGGTGAGACTCAGATTGCAGGCTGCCTGAACTGGGGTCGAAAGGATGACAAGATCAACAGCCGGCAGGCATCTGTGAGGAGGCGATTGCATGGACGAGGGGCCGATGCAGAGGAAGCCCTCCCCGGCTGCTGCCCAGAGTGGCACCAGTGAGAAGGCCCGGGTGTCAGTGGAGCTGGGAGGTGCTGCCCCCGTCTGGGAGGCGGATTTATTCCCGCTTGCCTGGACAAGGTTTTGTTCTGCTTATGGCTCGCTGTCTGGGGAAGTCCAGGAAGAGTTTCCACTGTTTCCCTTCCCTGGCCAAAACTGGAATGGAGCGGAAGCTGGATGCTCCTCAAGCAAGGAGCAACACGGGCCGAGCTGAGGGCTTGCAGGCGCCAAAGGCGCTTTCTAAAACTGGAGGCGAAAACCGAGAGAGGCCGGCCGTGCGTCCCCTCCACTTTTGCACAGGTAAAGGTGTGCGAGGCTGCAACGGGGGGCAGGGAGGGGCTCTTGGAAGGGGCGCCCAAGCCACCTCCTCCGGGCCGGGAGAAGTCGCTTCCCGCTCCTTCCTGGAGGGTCCGCATTCGGGGGCAGCGCACGTGCCAGTTGCCACGAGCCAGCAGTGGGCGCAGGACGCACGTCCTGGCCTTCCTCACGGGGACGTGGCTCCCAGATGGTGCACAACGCCCCGCAGGCGGCTGTGCTGGTGGGAGAGCTCATGCTGCCAGGCGAAGGGCAAAGGGCCAGGCTGGCGCCCTGCCCATAACTCGGGGGGGGGGTGCCGGGGCAGGCCAGGGCAGGGGTGGCACATCTCACGCCTCCGGGCCTCTTCCAGGCGTTTCTGCGAGAGCCTGGCCACCGTGGCGAAAAGGCCAGTGGTTGGCCCGGCGCCACATGCTCTCCGTGCGCCCCCGCGCTCACTGCAGGATGCCGGGACAGCTGCCGGCTGGCTCTGAAGAGGGGACGAGAGAGCCCCCCCCCCCCTCGCCCCAGGGGCCGGGAGGGGGGGAAGGGGGGGGGGGGGGGAGGCAACGGGCAGTGACAGCTGGAGGGCAAGGAAAGGCACGGAGGGAGCGAGAAACCGATCCTCTGGCTGCACGGGCGGGGGGTGAAAATAAAGCCCCCGTCCGTCCTCCAGGCAACTTGCTGCGGGTCAAGCCCAGGCAAGGGCACCCTGGGAGCCCCCTTCCCCCCGCTCCTGCCTGCCGTGCTCGGCATCAGCTCTCCGGCAGAGACGGGCCGGGTGCAGGACGGAGGAGGCCACTGGCCGACCCGTCCGGGGCCTCTTGTGTGAACGCAGCACAGCTGCACAGAGAACCCGGGCCGAGCCGTGGCCGCCGTGCACCCCGGCTGCTGCACCGCGCAATTAGCGCCCCGAGTGCGGCGGGAGGAGCGGCGTTTATGCCTGGCGCTGGGAGCCAGCTCCTTCCCACGCACGGCCCAGGCAAGGTCTCCCGCTTTCCGGCTGCCACAGAAGGAGCGCGGCACACGCCTCCTGCGCAGGCACCGGACTTCGCAGAAGCTGCCGAACGGGCCGGGAAACCGTTGTGCGCTCCTGGCCTGTGCCAACGGCCTCGCCGGACCTTCCCCAGTTTGACCCGCATGGATCCTCCCGACCAATTTGCCCCCGCACCCAACCCTCTTGCGGAGCAGCCGGGACGCCTGAGCCCCCCCGCCGGGCGCTCCCTCCCTCCGGCGGCGTGCGGACAGGGCTCTTACTGGGTCTTGCCGACGTTGTGCAGGGGCAGCGACGTCAGCGCCATGGCAGTCTTGTCAGCCGGCGTGCAGGAGGCGACCAGGTTGAGCTGGGGGATGTACATGATCTGCTGGCACCAGTCGCCATGCAAGGCCTGTGCGGGGGAAGAACACGTGGCGGGACGAGGGCAGGAGCGCGGCAGGTGGGCAGGAGCGGCGTGGGCTCGTGCGCCACGCACACACCTGATCCTTTGCGCTGGCCTGCTCTCAGCCCCTGACACTCGGCCTCGGGCGCAAGCCCAGCCCCTGCAGGGCCTGTCTCCAGAGGCAGCAGCCTCTTTCCGGACTCTCGGGGGAAAAGCACCAGCCGCCTCTAACCAAAACCAAGATCGCTGCCTAAAATCAGCCCTGAACGTCTCAGATGTGACCAGCGCCCCGTTTCTCCTCGTTCCCCTGCTCTGCTTCCTCCAGGACGGGCTGCTTTGGCCAGGGCAAAAGGCAGGTCTCCAGGAGGTCAGCCATGGCTTCCCAGGCCCAGAAGCCCAGCTGTTGCTGTCAGGCATGTGCGGTCTCTGCCAGCCCCTCCTCGGCTGGTCTGCACGGTGGGGCCACCAAGGCACAAAACGAAGCGAGGAAGCGGCCTTCTGACCCCGAGCCAGCCGCCCAGGCCTGCCGGGCTGAATATCAGGCACGCTCCGTCCCGAGCCGATGCTGGGTTGCCCAAACATGAGGTGGTCTATGGGGCCAGGGAGCAAACCTACCCAGGAGAGTGGTTCCGCATCAGCTCCGGCTGCCGCCTTGAAGCAGAGCCTGCAAAACGGCCTTCTCAGCCACAAGAGGAGCTGCCAGACCCTTCAGGACTCCCGTCTCTCCCGCAGCCCCTTGGCTCTTACACCAAAGAGCTCTGCAGGCCCCCAAAGCGCGCACCATCCGTTGCAGGCCTTGGTTGGTCCTAAGAGAGATACTCCCCACCTGCAGCGACTTTTGGCCCTAGATTCCAGACTGAGGAGCTTGTGGAGGCTGCGTTTCGTTTGGCCTGGACCGCCCAAGACCAGATTTAAGTAAATGCCAATCGTTTAAAACTGGGAGTGGGGACCTAAGCGGGGAATCAAGTCAACCCCCTTCTGCCGCTGCTCCCCTCGGTCCATGTCCTCACAGGTGCACGTGATTTACGGTGGCCAGAATCAGGGACGCAAGGTGACTGGAGGCGCCCAGGGCCCAGCTGGACCTCGCCATCCTGCTGCATCCCTGGCTTTACGTGCCGGGGCAGAGCAGGGCCCCGAAAGACTCCGTCACGGCTCTGGGCCAGGCAGGAGGACTCACAGGCACGGTGAAGTTCTTGTACGACGGGGTCTTCGCTTTCATGAGGATTTGCACGGGCACCCTCGCCAAGCCTCCTGTGGGGAAGAGCGCCAGGCAGCCGCGTGTGGGCAGGAGTCCTCCGGGCGATGTCCCAGGGGCCGGCGCTGCCCTCCAAGATGCCCCCCAGGTGCGCACCAGCATTTATGGGGCACAGTGGGGGGCCAGGCTGACTTTGAACCCAGGGTGCCTTATAAACCCCTGGGACTTTGAACCCCTGGGTATAAACCCCTGGGTAAACCCCAGAGCAAGCCATGGGTATTAACCGCGTGGTTTTTACCACGTCTCACGTCCTCTGAAGGCTACTTCACCCACAGACAACCCCTGCCCCCAGGCCCTGAGCAGGAAATGGCCATGACAAAATCGTGTCAGAGGCAAGCAGGGGAGGAGAGAGGGCTGGGCACTGGCTGGAGGAGAGAGCCATGCCCCCCTTCCCTCCAGGCTCCGAGGAGACGGGGTGGCACAGGGTCTGCAGCTTGCTTGGGAGAGACCTTGACCCCCCTCCTTCCCAGTGCCATCAAGCAGTACATGAGTGAAGACCGCAGCGCAAGCGCCAATGCAACGCAAGGCCAGAGGCAGACCCAGGCACACGGCAGGTAAAGGTGTGCCGGCATAGCAAGCCTCCCGACACCTGGGGGAGGTGTCCAGAGAGAGGTCCGCCCGGGGCAGCCCAGCAACTCCCCTCCCCATAGGGCTGCCCCGCACCGGCCCAAGGCTCACCGATGTAGCCACGAATATTGAAGAGCCCGTTCATCACAACGTCCGTGGAGGTGAAAATCAAGATGTTCCCCTTCACGTCTCCAACACAGAAGACGCCTCTGCATCCATCTGTCCTGGTTCAGGCAAGGAGAGAGGAAGTGGCAGGCCCTGTGGGGCAGGCCAGGACAGAAGAGGCCGGCCAGGAAGCTGGTGGGCCGCAAGCGCGGCTGGGCCACGCTCCAGAAGGGCGCCGCTGCCAGGACCCACATCCCCTGACGCCTCTGCGCACCTTCCCGGTGTTCTGGGAAGCTTCTTCGGAAAGCTGCTCGCTGCAAAGCCGCAGCCCACAGCCCTAGTGGCCAAGTGGGCCAGGGAGGGGCCAGCCAGCTGCCAAGGGAAATGGGGGGCCGGGCCGGGCCGGGCCAGACGGCGCCTCTTCGGGAGCACACGCTTGGGCTCTCCTTAGGTGCTGGAAATACTGGCCACCCACCCACTGAGCAAGCCATGGGCAGAGCGCTGTGGCCGGGGGAGGCGTGCCAAGCTTCATACCCAGGAAAGGCAAGATGCCCTGAAAACCGGGCCCCAACCTTGTGGCCCTACGCTGCACTGACTCCAACCTGGCTATATCCTTTCTGTAATGAGGGGCCCTAAACTGAGCACAATACTCCAGTTGCGGGCGCACCAGAGTCGTATAGAGTGGTAGTAATACCTCTCTCGATCTAGAAGCCACACTTCTGGCTATGCAACCAAGGGTGGTGTTCGCCCTCTTGGCCACCGCATCACACGGCTGCCTCATGTTTAGCCTGCAGTCGACCAGCACCCCGAGGTCCCTTTCACAAGTGCTGCTCTCCAGCCACTTGTCCCCTAACCTGCACTTATGACACCCATTCCTGTGCCCCAAGTGCAAGACCTTGCACTTATCCACATTGAACGCCATCCTGTTGTCTCCTGCCCACTTCCATAGTCTGTCCAGATCCTTTTGGATCTGGAGTACCTGCTCCTCAGTTGTGACCACTGCCCCAGTTTTAGTGTCGCCTGCGAATTTGATCACCCCTTCTTCCATGTCATTTATGAAAAGACAGAGCCCTGGGGGACCCCGCTTGTCACTGGTCGCCATCCCGATGATTCCCCGCTAATGGTTACCCTCTGCTTTCGGGCAGTCAACCATGCCCTAATCCACCGGACAGTGCTTTGGCGTATCCCAAAACTCCTCAGTTTCTCCACCAGGATATCATGGGGCACTTTGTCAAAGGCCTTGCTGAAATCCAGGTATACCACATCCACTGCATCCCTGCCATCTAGCCATCGTGAAACCTTATCATAGAATCCCACAAGGTTTGTCTGGCAGGACCTGTTTTTGCAGAAGCCGTGTTGTGTTGCTGCCAGCCTTCCTTCCCTATCTAGCATCGCTAGATCTCTCTCTATTATGGGCCTTTCCATTGTTTTTCCTACAATGGACGTAAGGCTAACAGGTCTGTAATTCCCCAAGTCCCTTCTACTACCCTTTTTGAAATAAAAACGATTCACGGAACTTTTCCATAAATGCGTCCAACTTTATCATGGATACAGTGGAAGCTTCACCCAGGAGAAGAGTCCACAGTCCGTCCGCCATCTCAGGAAGTTAAGATCCTGCCTCGGATGCTGCAGCCCAAACCGGGGACAGGCCCAGGGGCTGCTGCGGAGGTGGCAGGCCTGGGTGGCAGTCACCTGCCGTCACACCCCAAGCCTGGGTGATGGCTGGCGGGACCACCGGGGTCCCCGTGTCCTGGGGAAAAGGCGCCTCCAAGCGGGACACCCCTGTGCTTGCAGGAGGCCCCAGGTTCTGAGCCTGCCCCCTCCAGGGAGGGCAGGAAAAGACTGCACCCCACCAGGCAGGTCCATGGGTCTCCTTCGAGTCAGGCAGCTTTGCGTGATCCTAATGCCTCCCCCTCCCACTCTGTCCATAACAGGAAGTCTAATTGGCTTGGAGCCGGGCGCCCTCCCTGCTGTGGAAGTATCTCCCTACCCATGGTGCACAGCAAGGAGACCTGGTATAGCGACTCAGTGGCTCTGCTCTGGGGCAACAGCAGCACCCTGCAGCCCATTACAGGCTGTTCCACCCATGGCTTTGCAGGGACCGATCCGAGGTTGCTTAATCCACAAGCGACGCCAAGCGCCCCTTTGCAGACATCGCAGAAGCAGCTCGTGGGCTGGGAGTGGGAGTGGGAAGCAGCTGGGCACAGCGAGCATCCCCTCCGTCTGTGGGCCAGTGAACCCACGGCTGGCCTCCGGACGGCCCTGCTGGGTGTGCACACAGCCGGACAGGCGACCCCCGTTGAGGGGAGCGTATCGGGGTGCGCAGGAGCGAAGCCGCGAGTGGCCAGGACACCCCTTCCTCGCTCTCTCTGCCCCCTTTCGTCTCCCAGTCCCCTCAGCCAGCAGGCGGTCAGGGAAAGGACAGGTTGCTCTGGGGAACATCTGGAACTAGGCCAACAGCTGCAATCGCTCCAGGCGCTGCAGCGGAGGAAGACAAGGGAAGCCCCCACCCCCGGCTGCCCCACACCGTGCTCGGAGCCCCTGCCCTCACACTGAGCCAAAGAAGCCAAGCCGCTGTAGCAGTCGCTCGCCCGGGCTTCATTCTTTATTTTTATCCCACCCCCCACAAGGAGCACACGAGGTTCCGCGACCCCGTGAGCTAGCAGGGCTGCCCAGCAACTTCGCAGCCCAATCACGACCTGGACACGCGTCGCTCCACGTTCTTCCCACCTGGCCAGGTGCACCGGCTCCCAGCAGCCACGCACTTGAGAGCTCTGCACATTCCCGGCAGGTCCGCCAAAGCCCTCGCCCGCCTCCCTCCCATGCAAGGAGGCAAAGCATCGCGGGAGGCCCTCCGCTAGGAGGTGGCGCCCGGAAGATCAGACGAACTCACAGAGGAGCCGGCAGCCCTTAATGCTCCTCACAGGAGCATTCAGTGGGGCTGCTTGTGGGGAGACCCCCAGCCGGCGGGGGAGGCCCCCAGGAGGGAGGGCAGGGGCCATCAGCCCTGCTTCCGAGCTTCCAAAACCTTACAGCAGCTCTCCCCAACCTGGTGGCGTTCCAGGCCCGCCGGGCTACGAGTCCCGCCCTCAGTCCCCACCGGCCACGCCACTCTCTCCACCTTCTCCAGGACCCCTGGCACATCCCCCAGACTCCCGTCCACGTACCAGTAATCCATGGCTGTCGCGCAGCCATCCAGGTCGACGAGGCTAAATATCCGGTCACATTTGCTGCCGCCAATATCGAAGAACTCTGGGTGCAAAGAGCACAGGCAGAATATGAGCTTCGTCTGGTTTCCCGGCTTCATCAGGAGCCAGCTCTGCCGGACACGCTTCGCAGCAACCCCAGCAGACCTACCGCCTTTGCTCTCTGCTGGCGGGCATCCCATAGACCTCTGACTGGCCACGGAAGAAACCGCGTTCGTGGCCAGATAGACCCCATCCCACCCCACAGCTCGGCTTCGCTGATGGATGTCAGGTGGACCCCTAATTTGACCCCCCCACACACACACACCCACACACACATGCCTCTTTGGCTGCTGCACATTTTGGCACCCAGAGCCAAACATACATTCCCCTTTTCAGCTTTCCATTATAAAATTATATGTAAACCCCGGAACATAAGAAAAAGAAAGCAAGATGCAAGCTGCCCTGGCATTCCAGAGCCAAAAGGTGCCGTGTAGGCATTCCATCTGTTCTTTTTTGACAGAACACAAAAAAGACAAGGAAAAGCAGTGGGAAAACACAGGAGCCCTCGGACCAGAGGGCACACAGCCCAGAAAATCCCGTTTGAGACAGGGTGACTGCACCGAAAAAGCCACACCTGGAAACCCCCGTGGAAAAGCCGACAGAACAAAGGCCATTCGCTATCACATGGTGTGGCGGTTGCGCCACTATTATTGGCGAGCACGATGCATCTCCCACGGTGCTTTGCAGGGTGGAGAGGGCGGCAAAGGGCCGCACCTGCCCCAGGAAGCTGCCCGCGTGCTCCACTTAACCGGTGGGCAAGAGGAGGCAGGGAGAGAGACCCCCGAGGGAAGGGACTGAGTCACCACAGAAAGGCTGGAACTGGGTTTGAAGGACGAGAGATTTCTTCCCCGATCTAATTTTAAGGAATCCACTGTTGGGAACCACTGGCTATTATCTCAGCCCCTGCCTTTGTAACACCTGGCGTGAGGAAGAATGCGGGAAAACTCAAAAGCCCACACGTCTGTGTGGCGTTTTGGCTGATCCGAGTGAAGAGAGCACCCAGCTGTGGGTTTGGGCTTATCTTCCCACAAAGCCGCGTGGCCATCGTTGCCGCGGCCCATGTGCCGTGGAGCACTGCCTGAATTTTCACTGCACGGAGAAGGCGCTCGTCTACACAGGTGCCGAGGGCCCTCAACTCAGCTCCCTGCAGGCCACGTGCTGCTGCCCGCACCTGGGATTGCAGGTTACGGGAAAAGGCCCCAGGTCTTCCTGGATGTGGGCTCTGCTTCCGCACCTGCAGGAGGGGGCAGCACACCCTCCCCCCAGGGAGAACCCGGCTGCCCCGCTATCGCAAGCAGCTCCACGTCACTGCAGCTTCGCCCTAAAGCGTCGTTAGTGGTGCTGAGCCTCCCTCTTCCCAAACTTGCCCGTGGCAGTAGAACAGGTCTGCAGGGCACCAGCTTGGGGGAGGATGCCTCGGAGATCAATACGGTCCGGCACACGGATTTATTTTTATGGATGCAAAGAACCATTGCATTTCTCAAGGGCCCATGGTGGCCAGCTTGTAACTCTCCATGGGAGTTAAATGCTGCAAGATGCTGCGTGTGAGGGGCTGCCATGCCGGGGTGGGTCATGACCTTCATCCCCCTGCAGTGGAGGGCAGGACACGTTCCAACAGAGCAAAGCTCAGGGAGCCAAGATGTAGGGCGGATGCCAGGAAGCGCTTCCTGACAGTCAGGACCCAGAGGGTGTGGAATGGGCTTCCCCGGGAAGTGGTCGAGGCCCCATCGGTGCGGATGTTCAAGGATAGGCTGGATGTGCACGTGGTGGGCATGTTGTGAGCGGAGCCGGCTGGAGCCGGGGGACAGGCTAGATGGCCCGGGAGGCCCCTTCGGACTCGCTCTGTGTCTATGTTTCTTGAGACAAAGGGTCTCTCTCTGCAGCAAAAGAGCCACCAGGGTTTGAGCGAGGTGGTACACCTCTCTCCCAGCTTAAAGAAGGGGGCCGGTGCGTGGGCGTGGGGGAAGCGGCTTAGCATGCAGGCGCCTGAAGGAATAAAGGCAGCCATACACAGACAGCGTTCCTTGGACTCTAGCAGCGCTCGGAGCTGCTGAGCACCCCTCTCCGGACACCTGAGGCGAGGAAGCACGTACACGGGTCCCCTTTGCTTCCGCGTCGCTGGCAGCTTTGCAAAGGAAGCGCCTTTTCGAGAAGCCACCGTCCTCCAGGGCTCTCAGAAGCAGCCCCTGCGAGGCCGGCCATCGCAAGCCAAAACAGAGCGGTCCTTCCCAGCCTCGAAAGGGGAGGGCCAGTTCCCGCCTCCTCGTGGGCTTACCAATGTCCTGATCGGTGGTCGCGATGGCCAGCAAGTTGATGTTTGGCAAGCACAACATGTTAATCACCCAGAGTTTCAGGCTGTGGCGCCGCTTGGTCTGGTCCAGCTGACGTGGGAAGCCCAGAAGGGCGGCAGGGAGAGAGGAGGAGAGAAGGCTGCGGTATTTGCCTTGCCCGGCTGCTCTGCGGGGCCGCGGGGGCTCCGGGCTCCGGTGCACGTGCTGTGGGACTCCCCTGGGTCCAGTCCTGCCTCGTGCCGCCATTACGGTTAATTCCAGAAGGGCACTTAGGTCAAACAAGATTGCTGACGGGGCCCTGGCACTATCAATGCACGAGCGCAGCCTCTCCAGCTCTTCCGTTTCTGGCCCACTGCTAAGCATCGCCCGCTCTTCACTTTGAAAGCCCTTCATGCTGGTTACCTGACTGGCCTTCCCTCCAGTGGCCCCAGCTATGGAAAGCTCAGCTCACAGAGACACTCGCTCCCCACCGAGTCCTTGAGTTCACTGGGCTACCTCGTGCCACTCATTCGCCCTGAGTTTCTTTCCATCCCCCTTTTCATCTGAGCTTTATCATGATGAAAAGGGGCAATTCCCCAGGTACAGTCAGCTGAGCAACTTGGGAGAAAGCTGGGATACACAACAAAAATAACGATCAAACTCCACGGATCCTTTGGAGAAAGTCACAAGCTAAGACAGGACAGTGCTAAGTCAGTCCACCCTAAAGGAACACAACCCTGACTGCTCTTCAGAAGGCCAGATCCTGAAGATGAAGCTCAAATGCTTTGGCCACCTCATGAGAAGGAAGGACTCCCTGGAGAAGAGCCTGATGCTGGGAACAATTGATGGCAAGAGAAGAAGGGGGCGGCAGAGGATGAGGGGGCTGGATGGGGTCACTGGGGCAGTGGGTGTGGGCTTGGGTGGCCTCCGGGGGATGGTGGGGGACAGGAGGGCCTGGAGGAAGGTTGTCCATGGGGTCGTGAAGAGTCGGGCATGACTTGCAACTGAACAACAAGAAGACAGCACAAAGATGACATAATGCTGTGAATCACACACATGCATTTCTCGGGGTATAATTACACGCTCAGCAGACAGACAAAGCCAAATATCAACAGGGCCCCCCGAGTACCGAGGAATCACCAGAACATCCCCAGAAGAGCAAGCAAAAGAGCCCGGCTCAGTCCTCGGCCAAGGCCACTCGGACGTATCCGTGAGCCACAGGGCGAGGGCACTTCCTCCCCCAGGCCCAGGGAGGGGCCGACTGCTCTGCCCACGGCCAGCCACCCCGCGAGTGCGAGAGAGAGAGGACCCCCGAGACGCACCCCAGCCGGGCCACCTACGTAAACGGTCCGGAGCATCTTGAAGGTGTCGCTCCAGTAATGCAGGATGCCGTCCCGGCTCACGGTGAGGAATCGCCCCGAGGGCGACCGGACGGCGCCTTTCCTGAGTTTCTCCATGATGCCCCTGCTCTGGCTGGGGAAGAACTGGATCTGGACGATTTCCTCGGCGTGGGCCCTGGGGGGGCAGGGAACAGGAGAGGAAGCCAGGCGCGAGGGCTGCGGCCGCAGCTCTGCTCCGGGTCACCCCACTTCTGGCCCCCCTTGCCCCCCTCCTGGCACGGCGCATCCCTCGCATCACTTCTCCCGCGTGGGATGCAGCGCCCCTCGCCTCTTCGCGGGGAACTGGCACCGTGTTCCTCCACAGCTCGGCAGCCTCTGTCCACCACCGGCTCACCAGAAAGCAGCAGGCTACGGAGGGGAGCTGGGGCAGCAGAGGTGCCTTTGGCCCTCAGGCTGGGGCCCCCCCACCGGCCCCAGCAGCTGCCCGGCTCTCAGCACTGCCCAGGGAGCTCGGGCGGGAGAGAAATGAATACGCGGAGGCAACGGAGAGGGCAAATTGTTCTGCTGGGTGACCGTGTGTGCGCAGCCTGTTTATTTCTGGCACTTATATTTTTTCCCTTTTTTTCCAATTTATATCCTGCCTTTTTCCTCAAAGGGCTCAAGGCAGCCTACATCATTCTGCTCCTCCATCTTATCCCCACAACAACAGCCCTGTGAGGGAGGCTCTGCTCCATGTCTACACAGATTCTGCAACAGTGAGCAACAAGAGACACAAATAATAAATCCCATACTGCTAATTCTGATTTTATTGCCTTTGCAGCCTGGATTTTCCCCTCTTGCCAGGAATGCAAAGCCGCTCCCACAGTTCTACCTTTGTATTCTCACAGCAACACCCGGTGAGGCAGGCTAGGGTGGGAGTGAGTGAAGGGCCCAAGGCACCCAGCGAGCGCCATGGCTGAACCTGGGACCTCTCCCCACCACACCACGCCGGCTCCCACGCAGGCCGATAAAAGCGGAGAAGCAACAGACCCTGCGGCCGGCAATCGGAGCGGCCTTCTTCACGTGGGTGTCCTTGCGGGGGCCCGGGGGCAGCAGTGCTGCTGCTCGCCACAGAAAGGGGCCACAACCCGGAGGGCTCTTCCCAGCCAGGCCCGGCCCCACAGGGCGCCGGCGGGAGCATGCCGGCAGGTGACCTCAGGCCCCAGGCAGTCAGTGAGGGGAAGGCACTCGCTCAGGTGTTCTCTGGCCAAGTACCCAAATCTTAAACTGGCCCCGCCAATGAAGAGGCGGCCGGCTCAGCAAAGAAAGGGGCTGCATGGCGGAAGGGCAGGCCCCGGCCGCGGCCGGCTGCACTGGCTTCGGCCTCTGCACCAGCCCTGGGGCAGCCCCGCGTCACGCGCCCTGCAGTGGTCCCGGCTCAAGCGGACCAGCGCTCGCTGCACCGCCGCCATGCGCTGCCTGCCCAGGGGCACTCCGCACCACTGCGGCCACGTGGGCGTCCAGCCACGGATCAGGGGCCACCAGGCCCTTTCCGGAGTCATCACACGCTGCCGGTCCCAGGCCAGCCCCTTGGGGGAGTCCTGGCAGACCCAGGGCCCCCCAAGCAAGGGCGCACAGGCCGTTCCCAGCCCCAGCCGCTCATGCCCCTGCAGCTAGCCGCACGAGCCCGGAGGGGCGAGGACGGGGGGCACAGAGACAACTGGCTGTGAGCGCCGTGTCCCCGTCAGCACGGAAACGGCTGCGGCCAAGCCTGGCAGACCGCCACGCCCCACCACGCCATGCGCCCGGGGCACCAGCTCCACAGTGGCGGCCAGCAAATCTGTCCTCCAAGCGCCATTCAAAGCAGCCGTGGGGGACCTTCCAGAGGCCGGGCCTCCCGCCTCCAGAGAAAGCGCCAGAGCCCCTGAGCGGGCATGGCTGGGCGGCCACTCCAGGGTGCAACAAGGGAGGCCGTGCCACCAGGACAGCGACCCACGGGATGCCTCCGCCCGCTGCTCCTCCCCCCCCCCCGCTCTGAGCGCGGCCCTCGTGGGTCCTTACACTGAAACGGATGTCATGGTTGGTTGGAACTCCGGGAGCATCTTGCTCTTCAGCATGTTGTCCTTCCCCCGGTACTCACTGAGCATGTAATTCAGATACTCCTCCTGCAGGCGGGACGGGGAGGGCAGAGAGGGATGGTCCGGTCCGGTCCGGTCCGGTCCGGCTGCCATGCCATGGCTGCTCGCCCTGCCCTGAGGACCTTCCGCCGATCATTCCGGGCAGGGCAGGCAACAGAGTGAGGCTGGGAACAACCCCGAAACAAACCAGCACGGTCAGAACAAGCCAGGTTTGCCAGGGCACGGGTGGCGCTGAAGCCCTTGTCAAGCCCCGACTCGAGGACCCCGAGCCGAGCGGCACACGCTTCCCCCCAGGAGTCTCCGGGCCAAGCCTCAGAGCAGCTTCCCCGGCTGCAGAGGACACCCTAGGTATCAAAGGCAGGGAAGAGCCGTGGGCTTGCGGCAGAAAACGTGGCTTGCACTCGGAAAGGCCCAGGCTGGAGGAGCATCTGCCCGAGTCGCTGGAGAGCTGCCGCTGGCCCTTCATCCATCCTGGCTCGCATGAACCCAGGGCTGGGCCCAGTCTGGGTCAGCTTCTGATGCTTCCCTCTGTTACAGAGCAGGGAATAGCTAGACAGCCCCGCTCTGAGCTGTGGGGGGCGGGAATTGCGGCCTGCCAGAGCAGATGCGTTACCCAGTCAACGGAGCCGTCACAGTTGGTGTCCACCTTCATGAAGATGACATCGATGTCCTCGTCGGAAATATCCCCCATGATCTTCTTCATTGCTTTCCGGAATTCCTCCATATCCAGTCCTAAGAGACAGCGACAGAAAGGGCACCTCCGCACCACAGAAAATGTCCGTGGAACTCATGAAGCCTGGGGGCCCGTCCCCAGGACAGGGGAAGTGTGTCCCGGGACAGGCCGTCTCCCACCCAGGGCAAGGCCGCCAGGTCATCACGCCTGGGATCTGTGAGCCGTGGATCCTTCCATCCACACCGCCTGCGCATCCGGCGGAGGTTTTGCGCTGGCCACTGCAAGTGGGGCGGCCTCACCTCCTCCTCCATCGATGTCCGCTTCGTGGAACATGTGCTCCAGTTTCTGCAGGTGGTCATAGTTGATCTGCTCCTCCACCTGCTTGGCACGAGCCTCGTCACACATCTCCGCCATCTTCATTAGACGCTTGTGAGAGGAACACGCGAGCCCTGCCTTGCTCAGAAGCCCCGGAAGTTTGGGCTGGAAAGGAACACGGTGTCAGCCCCAAGCCGTGGGCATCCTCAGCTGGCGACCGCTAGCCCCTGCAACGCTTCCGCTGCTTGGGGTGGCGGGAGGGGGGAATGGAAAGACCACCAATCCTGACTTCACATCTTCAGCCCACCACAGGTGTCGGCCGAAGGAGAGCTGGCTATTTGCGTGCTGTGAAAACACGGAGAAGGCTCCGTGGGCTCGAGGCATCCTGCAGCCCTTCCTGCAAAATGATGCGCCTGCCTGCCCACCCGCTCGCCCCAGGTGACTCATCTCAGCACTTGGGGGCTGCAGAAAGTGAGGAGAGCCAGCAAAGGAGGGCGGTGGAGTATTGAGCACGGCCTTTTACAGGGAGGAATTGGAAGGGGTGACAAGGCCCTCCCCCTCCCAGATTTCCTTGCTGACACACACAGCTCTCCACTCGAACAGGATGCCTGCGGTCGAGGACCGATTGCTTAAGTCTGCATTAACCCAGAACGAGGGCCCGTGCACTGGAGGAAATGGAGGCCGTTCCCACCCTCACCTGTGGCACTCAGACCCAGGGCCGCCCCATGAAGGTGCCTGGTGGGAGGCTCGGGACAGACCGTAGGACGCCCCTCTTCACACAGCATCGAGTTAACAACAGAATTCGCTGCTGTGGGAAGCGGTGCCGGCCACCGACCTGGGCGGTTCTAAGGGGGGCTTGGACAGATTCATGGGGGAGGAGGCCATGGGGCTACTAGCCTTGCTGACCATGAGCTTTCCCACCCCATCTCAGGGAATCTAAATGTTTTGCTTAACTCCTTCTCCAATCCCCAGCGACTCTGTGCAGCACCGCATTTGGCTTCTTCATGGGCAAAGTGCAGCTGTGTGACTTTCAATGCCATTTTTGAAAGCAGCAGAACTTTTGTTAAGTCCATTATGGAGGTCAATAGCGCTGCTAATGGCTGCTTGCTATTATCACAACCATCAAAAGCTCTTAAGCGTGACTCTCCAAGCTGGTTTGTAGGATGGAAGCAAGATATCAGGGGAAGCCAAGCCGCCTGAGGTGGGACGGAGGGAGCTGGGCTCTTCAACCTGGAGGAGACTCAGAGGGGATCTGTTGGCAACATGCAGGTACGTGAGGGGGTGTCACACGGAGGTGGGGAGAGACCTGTTTCCCCCTGCAGAGGAAGGCAGGACGCGCTCCAACAGAACAAAGCTCAGGGAGCCAAGGTTCCATTTGGATGCCAGGAAGCGCTTCCTGACAGTCGGGACCCCGAGGGTGTGGAATGGGCTTCCACGAGAGGTCGTTGAGGCCCCATCGGTGCGGGTGTTCAAGATAGGCTGGACGTCCACATGGTGGGCATGTCGTGAGTGGGGCCAGCTGGACCCGGGGGTCAGACTAGATGGCCTGGGAGACCCCTTCTGACTCGTTCCGTTTGTTTCTATCACTTCCTCCTACAACTGGGAAATACATGACAAGAATTGCCACTTTAGTCCTGAAAATAAATTGCATTCCACTGTGGGAATAATATGACCTGGACAAGGACATGGCGGGGATTCCATGAGCGCAGCTGGCTGGAGTCAGGGGTCAGACTAGATGGCCCTGAGATCCCTTCTGACTCACTCTGTTTCTATGTTTCTATGACCCATCTTGCTCAATTTACTCACTGGAGGCTGGCGCTTCCTGAATAAGTCATCGTCCACATCTAAGCCTCCCCTAAAAACATCGGAAAGAAACCAAAACAGTAAATGTGTAAGTACATATCTGAATTACTGCTTTTCAGTTCTTCAGTGACTCCAAGGGTAACATGAGGGATGACATGGGCCCAGCAGCAGAAAACAGGAACTGGCATTTCGGTTGCAATCTTGACTTTCGGAGGGTCCAGTGGGGGGCCTTGATTTCCCCTCTGTGAAACGGGAATGCTCCCGATTACATGCAAGGCTCCCACTCCGCGTTGGTGAGTGCAGCCTTTCCTAAGCCAGGGCCTGCAAGGAGCCCCTCCCACCCGAGGCATCCGGGGGGGGGGGGCTGGAGGAATCTATTAAAAGCTCTTTCTGCAGATGGAAATACTGTGCGGCTGGCCACGATGATGAACAGGATGGTGCATGCGCTAGGCATTTTGATACGGGAAATGGCAAGCACCATTACTGAAAGGGGGAGTTCCTTTGCGCCGTCACCCAGAATTGCCCCACAGCCTGAGAGGTGCGAAAGAAACACTGCAAATAAATAACTACAAAGAAAATGCATTTCCTGCCCACACACGCTCCAAGCTATTGTCCCTTGATTAACCAGAGAAGGTTTCTTTAACTGCGAAACAGTCCTGGATATTTGGAAAACGGTTGAAATTGAAAGCTAGCGGGATTTTCATGGAGCCTGCACATCATTAAAAGACTCTGGGACCTGAAACCGGTTCCTTAATTCAGTGCCAGTTTTCATCCAAGACAAAAAGACAAAAGGAGCAAGAAAGGCCGTCTCTGCCAAAGGATCTGTGCACCTCCACTGGGGGCTGCCAAGGCCCAGGAGAGCAAAAGGACAAGGGACGGCAAAGGGGCGTTGAAGGTGAAGGCTCAGCCCAAGTTTGTCCTGTCGCTGGACGTGTCGCGGGGTGGGTGATGGTTAAGAGAGACGCTCATACCTCATGGCTTGTTCTGTGACCCCGCTGACTCTTGGCATAAGCCGGTCAGAGCGTGAACGTCCAGGAAGGACAACCAGCCCAGGATGCGGCCACAGTGGCTGCATGAACCAGGCCAAAACGCATCGTCATCTAACACTCGCAGATTAAGCCTTTGTTAAAGGTATCGGTGTGGAGGAGAGTGGGGTCCCCGGAGGGAACCCCGAGGATGGGCCTGAGGAGGCCGGGGGCAGAGCAGCTGTTGCTGCAGCAGAGGCCTTCAGGAGACGGAGAGTTTGGCAAGCCCGAAAAGCAATGCCCAGGCTGAAGCTCAAGGCCGATGCGCTGGGGGCCGGTTAGAAAGGAACCCGGCAAGAACAGAATGACGGGGGAAGCAAACGCTTTCCTCAGTGGCCTCAAGTGCTTGTGTACGGTGGGCATCAACTGACAGAAGTAGCCCCTTTCCTCAGGGCCAGGCCCTCCGGAGTCACCCAGACACCAACCTGGAACGCTGGAAGTGGGCTACCGACACCCAGCAAGGGGCCACTGCCCATTTCCTAGAGGCGTTCACTCCCAGCCAAGGGTATGTGGGGTTGCCGGCACAGCCGGCCTTTGCTGCTCTGGCCGGTAGAACTGTTTTCTGTTAGGCAGCCAGTATCTGAAAAGCCAGCACACTCCAGATTCCACCTGCGGGGTCTGCCTCGCCGACTCGCCTCCCTCTCCCCCGGTCCAGATGCCCCTTCCAGAAAACCAGCCGCCTTTGAACTGGCGACCCCAGTTCCTCCAGAGCGCCTCGGAGGGCACAAGAGGAGCGTGTGCCGGATCAGACCAAAGGCCCTCCAGCCAAGCGCTGTTGCCACGACGGCCAGCTGGACGCCCAGGCTGGGGGCAAGGCAGGGTCTGCCTGAGAGCTGCAGAGGCCAAGGTGGGACAGGACAGCTTCCGAGGGAGCTGCTGGAGCAACCCTCTGCCTGCCCGGAGTTGCTCGCCGCACAAGGCACAGCAGGTCTTGAAGGCCCAGGAGGGCCCCACCTTGCCGAAACTAAATAGTGTCCTTTCCTAGCAACCCTCCCCGCATCTCCAACATGCGCACAGCACATCAGCTGGTATTCCAGAAGGAAGGAAGCGCTTCCTACACCGCTTCTCTGTTAGTGGAGATCACGGGAGAGTAAGAGCTGGGCCAGGAGGCCCAATCCCCCCCTCAGTGCAGGATTCCCAGTTAAAGCATCGCTCTCAGATGGCTGTCCAGGGGCATTTTGGATGCCTCTGGGGTGGGAGAGCCCACCACCTCCCTAGGTCATGGGTTCTGTGACCGCACTGCTAACAGTCCCGATACCCAGCCAGAACCTGGCTTCTTGTAACGGGAGTCAATTACTCCATGTCCTGCGCTTGTCGAGAGCTATCCTACCTCCCTCCGTCGTCTTGAAGTTCAAACATGGCCCGCTCTCTCAATCCCTCCTCACAGGGCTCTGTTGCCAGTCCCTGGATCATCGTTGTTGCCTCCTCTGGACCCTTCCCAGCTTGTCTGCATCTTTCTTAAAACAGCGGTGCCCAGAACTGGACACGGGACTCCAGAGGAGGTCTAACCAGTGCTGAGAAACGTGTGTGGAAAAGGAACCCTTTTGCATTGTGGCGCAGGTCACCATCCCGTCCCCCACCACTGGGCAGTGCTGACTTGCCCCATCGGCCAGCACTCACCAGGTCACGGAGGGATGGATGCTGAACTTGCGGGGTACGCTCGCCTTAGAGGTCATCAAAGAGCCCCCAATGGAGTGGGCGGACTTCCCAAAAGTGGACATGTCACTTTGTCCTGTCAACGCCGGCTGCGTAATTCAGCCAAGGACTCAAGCGACTCAACCGGCTGTAGCCAGCTTCTGGCGCATCAGTTGGCTCACTGTGATGTCATCCTTTGGAACAATGACCTCATTTCACAGAATCACAGGAAGAGTCCGTGCCCCGAACTCTCACAGCTGGAACGTCAAATATGCGGCTCGGTATTAAGACTGGCTGGAATGGGATGGGGAAAGACCAAGGACTACAAATGGGTAAAACTGGAACGGGACTTTGGAAGTAAGTGCAGAGAAAGGCTGATGTGGTACAGAGCGCGCTCCAGGTGCTTCAAGCAGGTACTGCAGCTGGGACCTCGGCATGCTTTTCACGGTGTATCTTGCACAGCACTTGCAATGCAGTCCTTCAGAGAGGTGGTTGCCAGCACTGATTAGTGCTATTCCCAAAATGCCTTTTACGAGGGGCGTTCACTGTATTCTCAGTATCAGGTTGATTTGCTATTGATGTAGGTAATTTAATTATTTTATTAGCTAATGACACTGAGGGTATACATGCAAAATTTCAAATAAGTGCCATCATTAGTTCCCTAGTAATCCTCAGTGAAAGACGATCACGATGACTGACGCGACAGTGTTGAAGAAATCGAGCACCGTGCCAAGTTCCTTACAAAACAAGGAAAAAGTCAAAAAATCATTCACGAAGAGATGGAGGCCGTTTACCAGGACTCTGCACCTTCATTATCTGCTGTTCAAAAGTGGTCAAGTGAATTTAAAAGGGGCAGAGAAAGCACTGAAGATGACCCTTGCTCGGGCGGGCCGGTTACTGCCATTACGAAAGAAAATGTGAAAAAAATTGAGAAACTTGTATTGGAAGATGCCCGAATAAAAATCAAAATGTTAGCAGAGATGACAAACCTATCCGTTGGTACCATATTTACTATTTTTCATGACCATCTTAACCTTTCAAAGGTCTGTGCAAGAAGGGTGCTGCGAATGCTCATGCTGCCTCAGAAACAAGTGCAAGTCGAGTGCTGTAGGGAGTTTTTAGAGCTCTGTGGTGAAGATCCATCGAGTATTTTCGACTGGATTGTTACTGGAGATGAAACTTGGGTTCATCACTATGACCCTGAAAGTAAGCAGGAGTCCATGCAGTGGCATAAAAAATGGTGCTGACCCTCTGGAGAAATTCAAAGTCTCTCCATCGGCCAGAAAAATCAAGGCCACAGTGTTTTGGGACTCAAAGGGAATTTTATTAGTCGAGTACACAAAAAAAGGTGAAACCATAAATGCAGCATCTTATGCAACCACTCTATGTAATTTAAGAGAAGCAATTAAAGAAAAAAGGCAGGGAAAACTGACCGCAGGTGTGTTGCTTCTTCACAACGCGCCTGTTCACACGGCGCGTGTTTGGAAGGCTGCTGTGCGAGACTGTGGTTTCGAAGAAATAAACCAGCCACCCTGTAGCCCGGCCCTGGCCCCCAGTGACTACTGCCTGTTCCCGAATTTAAACAAAGATCTGCATGGAAAGCGATTTTCCAACGATGAAGAGCTCAAGGCGGCAATTAACACACATTTTTTAGACAAGGAGGAAGAATATTTTTTACAGAGAATTGAAAAGTTAATTTCTAGATGTAATAAGTGTATTGAAGTTACAGGGGATTACACTGAAAAATAAAAATTATTTCAATTTATTATTCCTTTTTCTTCATGCTGATACCGAGAATACATTGAACGCCCCTCATACCCTTTAGGGCTTTTTTTCCCCAACACAGAAACAGTCTGGACAGAAAACCACGTCTCCCAAGAACAACCGAGCCCTGGGATGTGGCATATTCTTCATCCAACTAATCTAACATGTTGGGGCAAAACTTTTCCAACAGAAACGGATCCAGAGAATCAGAGGCAACTGGCCAGTTTTCTTTCTGAAAACAAAAAGCAACCCACGGAACAACAAATTATCCCCACTAATCTACTGATTTTTGCTTCTGAAAGCCTTTTTGTCCCAGCCAGTGTGAAGGTTATGTTGTTGCAAAATAACCCATGACATTTTGCAAATTAAAGCTGCAAAAGTGGACTTCTGCCACCCCTTACTTTGTGGCAAGAGGGGCTGAGAAGCGTAATGCTTGATGCAAAGATCAACGTGCCATTTAGAAGGATGATCAAGGAGCAGAAATGACACAGATCCCGTTTCAGTCTGTACGAAGAGTTAGGCTACCTTAACTCTGAAGGAGCATCACATACGCTGGAGAAGCCCCAGTCCTTGGAGTCAAAACTCGATCAAGGTGCACAAAGCTGCTTGATTAAACAGATTGTTGCATCCAGCTGTGTCAAGTTTCCCAATTCTGATTTATCGTGTATTTTATTTTAAACTTTATAGACTGGGAGAAAGAACATGGTTGCAGAGTTTGCAGAGTCCGTGAAGCCAAGAAAGCAAACCTAGCAGCAAGTGGAGTTCCACAGTTGCCACCATCACCCTGGGAAAAGCGCCACGGACCCGCTCCTTTCCAGAGGGCGCATTTCAGCGGGCAAATACTGGTTTCTCGCAACGTGTCTAAAGCGTGCAGATTAGCAGGGCTTAGTACGTGTTGCCCTTAGAGCTGATGCCCACGCGAGCACGTTCTTGACCTGGCCCTCGACTTCCTGCCAATACGTGGCTCATTCATGAACTTCTGAGTGCTATTCGGAGGAGAGAGACAGGATACAAATTGAATGAATAAAATAAACCCAAGGTGGAGAGAAGCCCCTCAGCCCTAAAATATCCATCCACCGTTCCAGAAGCGGGGAGAGTGGGAACCTATTTCCCTGCTGTAAGGGGGTGGCAATCTGTGGAAACCCAAGGTTTATACAACCTTCATTCAGAGAAATCATGATACTGTAAAAGCAAGCTTTTAATGGAAATTCTTGCATTTTTATTTTTTAGTCTTTAGACAGTTACAGTAAGAATTGTCACTGAAAGTCAGAAGATTGACAAGACTGAACAATAGTTAAGAAAGGAGCTCCTGCAAGCCCCCTGCAAGACATATGCTGTTGAGTACAGAAAAGTACATGCCTCTTTTTTAAATTCTATCTCACTTGCCTTCCCGGTATCTGGGTGGAAAGCTAGAACTAAGAAAGGCTACTTGTATTTGTGTTTTCAAGTGAAATGGCCCTTTCTGTGAGCGAGCAGGTACTGTACCAGGTCAGCAGATTTGCAGTCACTTGGGAAGGGCAGGCGAGGGTGGTTCTTGCGTCCATCTTCTTTGACCAGAATGTGGGATTCTGCAACTGAAGTTGCCACACACCAGAACAGTTCTGTATCGATGCAGAACAGACACCAAGTTTTTAAGTAGCCCAGCAGGCATCACTTCTAGAATGACAAGCATTCCAAAAAGAACTCGCTTCGTAGCACCAAAGGGATTTGGTCCACATGCCTTCATTCCTTCATTGAAGACCCCCGGTGGGGAATTTTGTGCTCACAGGCTATCAGCTAGCTGGAGCTTCCCGATGCCTTCAGCGCTCCACACCTGCGTCAACACATTTTCTTTCAAGCAGGGAGGGAGATGCAGTACCTCAAAAGTTTAGAAGTGATGAATGATTGTTTCAAGCCAAATAGAAAGAAAATGTTATGCACCAATTTAAAAGGCTGGCTAAGTCCATTAATCACTAGCCTGTGCTTGTGAACAAAGCTGTTATCTTCTAATTTTTTCTTATCACTCAAGTAGATATTTCCAGAAGTGGCAATTCACACGCCGTCTCACAGCACAATTTCCCATCTTTGCTCAGCAGCCACGCAGTGCAATGCCTGGCCAGGCATGACAACAACAGGCGCTGGCACACGCCCCTCCCAACACCGACCCAGCAACGTGAGTGGCCAGGCAGCCCGCTCCGCAGAACCCGGGCCATCACTACACGAGTGCAAAGAAGCACAACCGATTCTGTGCCGCCCAACCCAATTTCTAGCAAGAAAGATCCACACGAGGTGTGTCCTCAAGAGGTTCTTCCACAACATATATCCAAGATGTATTCAGAGGGGGCATGATGCTGTGAACTTAGTCAGGGTGTGAAGAAAGGCGCTGTCCAACTCCCAAGCCAAATGGGATCTTTTGGGGTCAAGCAAAGTACCAATCCCACAAGAACATGACACCCCAGCACACATAACATTCTTGAAATAACAGAACTTTATTTAGAAACTGTTTAAAAGTAGAAAAAACCCTGTCAAGAGGAGTCTGGGTGGAATATGGTTTAGGGCAACAAGTATCTAGAAGGCCACAAGAGAAATAGCACCTCTGATGTTTTAAATAATGGCTTGCTTTTTTGGCATTCATTGAATTTGGGTCTTCCTCTGTAATTTCATAGGGATTCATGCACTACACAACATTTACCATAAAATGTTTTGCTTTCTACACACATTTAGGACACAGAACCACCAGAAGCAAACAAACAACAGCACACCAAGCTTAGAAGCTTGGTCTTTGCTGTGGGCAACATCTCAAAGAGGCCCTCCCAAAGAGCAGCAATCAGGGAGAAGGGTTTGCTCCACGTGAGGAAAGGATCAAGCATGAAATACTGTAACAATCAAATTCATCTTAGCACTATATATATATTTATTATTATTATTATTTTGCATTGGCTTTCCTGTTCAATGCACACCAATTAATTTTCTTCACCAGTAGTCTGGAGCACTGACTAAGGCCGAGTGTGGAAAGCCAGCTCAAGCAGGACACTCAGCAGACCCGGCCTGGGAGAGAGAATGGTCTCAGTGGAGCACGGCAAACAAACTGTCGAAGCCACCGGAGCCGGTGGTAACCAGGTAGCCGGGGGCTCTCCAGATGCTTTGCACCACAATGCCTGTTGCCCAACGGCCAGGGATTGTGAGACTTGTGACCCAAAATATCTGGAAGGCGCCAGGCTGCCTAGCCCTGCGCCAGAGTTTAGTCTGTGGGCTTGGAGGAAGAGACAGAAGAAGGGGTGCCGAGAGGAACAGAAGGACCCACAAAATTCAATAGAACAGACACACAAAAGCAGAAGAGGAGGAAAGAAGAAGCAGATGCAGGCAGCGAGCCAGGAGAAGAGTTTCAAAGTGGCCGCGTTGTTGCTTTGGAAGATTCTGCATGCCAATAGTCTGTACAATAAAACTGAGATGACTTCAGGCACGCGAGCTGCACCCACCCTAGGCTCGTGACAGGCCTTTCCCCACGAAAGCCAACAACCGCACAGCCAATTTTGTATCACAACCGGGCTGTGTCAATGGCTCTTTTCAGCGCGCTCAATGACTCCAGGTGCCGAGCAATTCCTTCCAAAACAAGAAAGCCAGATGCTCTAACCCCACTTTGGAGCACATAACGTCTCTCATCACATTACTTAAATTTGGCATCTGGAAGCACATTTTAAGCCCCCTTAAGGCATCTCTATAATTGCAGAACTCATGTCATACTTGCTCAACCTTCTTGCAGAAAAGTCAATCCCAAAACTGCTCCACTACATACTTTCCCCCGCCGCCCAAAACACACAGCACAACAAACCCTCCAGCAACCGAGCGACTCTGCAAACCCCAAACACTCACCTCTGGCTTCCAAACTACACCAACTAGATGTTAATACTGCTCTGCTACGAAAGTGAAAAAGAGTTCTCAAATAAAACCCATTGGAGGGGGAAGTAGTAAAACTTACGCAAAGTGCACTTGAAGAGGTACTGTTTTACTTAGGAAAAGAAACCAGTGAGTCCTCTAGGAATAAAATGGAGTATTTTACAGATAAGCACATGATTGGGGCAAAGAATTCTGATTTCTGAATTCTGACGCTGCTGCTCTGCTGGTACAGTTGATGGACCGTTAATACTCCTCCTGCTCCTCCGGTGGTGCTCCTTCATCTGGTATGACAAAGCCTTCCTGCAAGAGAAGAGGCGAGAGAGCCACTTGCAGGTCAAGCAGTGGGGGAAAGGTGCCCAGCGCCGAGCTCCTTCGCCACTCCCTCAGGAGCAAACCACGTTGTGGCTTCTGCTGAAAGCTACGTGGCTTTTTGTCACCAGCCCATCTTGAACAGACATGCTGCAACGCTGCTGCTGGATTCTCTGCCACAGCACCACATCCCACCTGTAAATTCTTCCAGAAAGTGACTTATGATAATGCCCTGCATTGGCTTCTGTAAAATACGGAGAACAAGAAATGCACTCCATCAAAATGGCTTTTATCAAAGTTCTTCAGCAAGGGATCGTGATGGGCCAAGCACCACGGACACACGGGAACGCCGAGAGCAGAGAATTTTATAGGTCCCAGCTAAAAGCGCAAGTTAACCCAAAGCGCAGGCAAGGCGACCTGCCACCTGCCTAGAGAGATCCCTGTTTTGGCACACGGAAGCAGTGGCCTTGAGAAGCCTATGAGAATCCAAACTCTCCGCTTTCTTTTGGCAATACTCTCAGCCTTCCCAGTTAGGAAAACTACTGAAGATGTGGGGCTCAGGAAAAATGCACACGCAGCTCCACGTTTCCAAGTGTTCTCAAGACTTCAATTCTATGCACATCTCTGCGGAACCAAGTAAGGCTTCTAAGTAAACGCACACAGGATTTTGCTGCTGGCCTTGCCAAGAACACAAAGTAGATGAAAACACTCTCTATGTCAGCTGTTTACAAAGTTGGTTATAAGCCACTTTGAAGACCATTTGATAAGAAAATGGCATATAAAACCCACAATATGAGGGGGGCTGGGTCATGTGAGATACTGGAGGTGCGGCACTCCAGCTCGGCACATCAAGCGAGCGGACATTCTTCCAGCAAGAGGCAGCCCTCTTCAAGTGGCAGCAGCGGCACATGCAGGCAGAGGGGCGTGTGCAGAGCAGCTGCAAGCGCCGTCCGTTTGAAGTGACAGATGCACAGAAGGGATCATTCAGCAGCCGCTGCCTGACATCCCACTTTGCCACCAGCCAGAGAGGGAGGTCCTGAAATTTGGTAGCCGCACTTCAGTCACTCTGGTAGCCAGCTGGGAAGAGCTCCAACGTGAACGCTGCGGGAACCGCAGGAGCTCTCCCAGGCCACCGCACAGCTGCGGCCCATTTCAGGGGGCTCCCGCAAGGGGCCTGCCCAAGGGACCGAGCAGCGGGCCCTGCTCTCGAGGCGCTGCCCGGGGTGTCCGAATGTGCACGCAGACTTACATCCGTTGCGTAAAGGATCTCCACAATCCTTTGCAGAACCGGGTCGCTTTCCCCTTCGTTCTCCTGGCAAATCAGCTCAATGTTTCTCAGTTTCCCAAAGTAGAAGTCTCTTTCCTTTTCCAAATCTTCGACAGTCATCTTTAATACGTTGATCTAGCAAGCAGAACAGTTGATCAACATACTTTTCCCTAGGGAGGATCCTCTGCCCAAAAGAAGAGGCCCAACAAGGCAGTTTATCAACATCTGGGAGTAAGACTGATGGCATTCAGTGGGGTTTGCTCCTGAACCGGCATGCACAGATTTGTGTTATTATGTAATGACGACGCTGCAGTCACCAGACATGGTCCAAGGGGCTGCAGGAGAGCTCAGACTCCTTTCCCCAAGGCCAGACAGTGCTCTGACCTCAATCTGGGAATCCGATCCCAGATACCCCTCCCCTGCCCCACTGCAGCTGGCATGGAAAGAATCGCACCAGCTGCTTCCCAAGGTCAGAAAAGCAACCTCGCAGATGGATTAAAGCAGGCATTTACGGGGGGGGGGGGGGGGTTGGGGCAGGACAGCCAGCACACACGGTACCCTGGAGTGCAGCTTCTGCCTCCTTCACTCCCCGCAGCACTGCTGCTGGGAGGCTGAGAACAGCCATTTAGTGACCCCGCAGAAAGTCAGTGCCACTTCTCCTGCTCGGTGCTAGATGAGCACTGCTCCCGAGTCTGCAGGCTTGAACGCCTCTGGATAGGACCGTTCCCTTAGTCAAATAACAACATGCAGCCAGTCAAAACTGTAGGATGATTCGTTCTTCTCTGTGATCTCCGTGCATCGCACATATGGGCTTTAGCGCCTGCATGGAGCCTATGGCCTGGAAGTTTCTATTGCTAAGTGTTCATTTTGGGAAGAAAACCCCTCCCCTTCCTATTACCAAGAGGCACGGGGAGGGACTTCCTTTTCAACCACCATCAGGCCTAGCCTGGGAATGAATCGCTCTGCTCTTTTCCACCTTAGGTACTCCCTGTTTTCTATAGTTCTTTCATTTCCTAAAGAGTCCCCCCTTTATTCCTCTCTCTGCGACAACCCCTTTTCACTCTTTTTCTCAAAAACCTTCCCTACAAAAATATATATTCCTATCTGCTTTCCTATCTATTGCTCCTCGTGCTTTCCCAAGCTGCCTGTGATTATCCTACCTTCTTTTCTACACCTTTCCCACCTGGGCTGTGGTGTCAAGCAACAGCTTTTAGGAGATGTGCCCCCTGTGGCAGCCAGTTGCCCCCACCCAACAGGCTCTCCCACTGCCTTCTCTGCCCGGGCAAGGGACACACGCTACAAGGTCTCCACAAAACAAAGAAGAAAGCCTGGGCGGATCGGCTTAAGGCGGAGTTGGGGAGGAAGGCCGGACCGCCCTTCCAGCTCAGAGGACAACCCTGCGGTGTGGAATCCAAAGATGGCCGCACACCTTGAGAAAAGGCTGTGTGAGCCCCTGCTGAGCGCCCACGCCAAGCATTCCAGCTCACCAGAGCAGAGACGGGCCCCCACTGCTGCGCAGGGAGGAGACTCGGGAGACTGGCCGGCCATGCGCACAGACTGCCAGCCCCCCAGCCTCTGCTCCGACAGGATCATGCTCCTGAGAACTGACTCTGCACCTGACTCGCCGAGATGTTCCCCAAGCACCGCCTCGAGGCCGACAAAGCCGTCCCTGGAAAGCGGCTCAGCTCTGGAGCACCCCATGACACCAGCCTCTGCGCCAAGCCCGGCCGCCAGGCCCGCCCCTGCTCTCCTCGCGACCACCTGGACTGTCGCCTGCACTGATCCCAGAATCCTTCCAGTCCAAAGCCAGGGCCAACAATTCCAATGAGGACGACCACGAACCCGGATGCCAAGCTGGTACCAAGGTCCAGTACTGAGACTATCAGTGCTGATGCCAGGGCTGCACCCACCGCCCGCCCTCCCTGGCACCAGAGACACACGAGAGTTGGCCCTCCACCGGCCGCCATCCTTCCAGGTCTGGCCAACACGACGAACCAACCACCAGCCCATCCAGGGCTCTGGCGCCAAGCCATCGCCAGGCCTCAGTGCCAAGCTGACCCCAGGCCAAAGCAACCCCTCGACAGCAAACACCAGCCTTCGGTTCTGGACCCACACTGCTCCACGGAGCTGGACCAGCAACACTCCCCAGCACAGGTGGCCGTGAACACCTCTGCATCTCAGAGTCAGTGGTCTCATTGCGCCCATCAGGACCCTCAGCCAGAGCCCAGCACCCCCCCCCCCCCCGGAGGAGGGGCCGCACCACACAGACCTGGGACTGGAGGCTGGCCCAGGACCTCTTTCGCCCCCTATGCTGACCGCCCTCATGAGAAAAGACGCGAGTGCCCAGCTTGCTCTAGGCAGGCACAGGAGCACCCAGAGGGGACCAAGTGCTGGTGCTGAGGGTCCCTACAGGCGGCTGCTGCCACCCCCTCCCCCTCACACCGACTTTGACATGTACCCGGCCCAATTCCTCCCCACAGGAGCAGCAGCAGCAGACTTGTGCGCATGCCCATCATGGAAAGGAGCTGCGGGACTGAGCTGGATGCCCGGCCCGCCTCCCCCACCCCTGGCGCCACTGTCGCAGGTGGACGCGTTGCTCTCCGGGGGCTCTCAGGACGGCCCAAGCAAGCCTCCGCAGAGGCTTCCGGAACACTGGCTTGTGCCACAGCAAGTTCAGCACCTGCCAAGGGACCCAGTGCCCCCAGTCGAGGTCATTTCGCCATCCCACCTCAGCTTTGTCCTCCCTGCCTTCTTCACAGCTCCATCTCCTCCGGTGGCAACTACCCTGCACCTGCTCGAGGGTCAGAGGGCCCTTGCCTTCTACAAACCTAGGACTGAGACCTTCCGCTGCTCATTCTGGCTGTTCTACTGCTGCAGCAGTGAGAAAAAGGAAGACCCGTCTCCAGCGCCATCAGCCTGGCACATGCGATGGCAGCCCTTCAGCGCACCATGCCGCCCAGGCCCACTCCGTATGCGCCCCAGCCCCAGCCACAGCTGCAGCCGCCCTTGCCGGGATCACCTGGCAGGATGGCAGCAAAGCTGCCACATGGTCTCCTCGCTCAACATTCACCTGGGGCCACCGACGGGGTGTCCAGGTGAGGACAGACCGCTCCTCCGTCCCACGGTGAAGACGGCACCCTCCCCCCTTCACACCACGAGTGAGCAAGCTGCCCACACGTGTGATGCACAGGGACCACAAAGAAGACAGGCCTGTCGCTTCCCTGTTAACTGCCATTCTTCGAGTGGCCATCTGCGCGCTCACACAACCCACCCCCTGGCCCCACTTGCTGCTGCCCTTCCAAAAGATTCTCCCTTGCTCTCCATGGACGCTCAGAGCCAGACCAGACTGGAACCTCCGTCCGTCCGTCCGTCCGTCCTTCATATATATAGTGCTTTTTTTGTTTAAAAAAAAAAAAAGCGCCAGAACTCACATCGCCAGCAGTAAGCGCGCGACCCCACACACCAATCCCAAGCCGAGCAGCAGAGCAGCGTCCCAAGCCGAGAGCAGCGCCCTCACTATCAGACAGCAGTTAGCAGACACAAAAGCAGCCCCCCCGCTGGCACTATGTTCATGACGTTTGCTGCTGATCTGCTACGATTCAAAATCACTTTGTAAAATCCATTGGAAAAAAAGGTGCCGGAACACTGTTCCGATGCATTCTATGACAAAAAAAGCCCTGTATATATTTATCTCCTGCCTTTTTCCTACAAAGGGCTCAAGGCAGCTTACATCTCCTCTTCCATCTTATCCCCACAACAACAGCCCTGTGAGGCAGGTTGGGCTGAGAGTCTGTGACTGGCCCAAGGTCACCCAGTGGGCTCCATGGCCAAGCAGGGACTAGAACCAGATAGTCCCAGGCTCTTAACCACGACACCACGCTGGCTCTTCTCCTTCCCCTCAGCCTGCAGATCCACGGCAGTCTCCAGAGGAACTGAGGGGATGGGCAGGAGCCCTTCCCCCTGCTTTCTGAGAACAAGAAGGGGGGGCATCCATCCAAAATTTATTTATTTATTTAAAAAATGTATGCCGTCCATTATTGTCATCTCTGGACGGCTTACAGCATTATTTCAAAATAACATAAATTAACTATTCCACGCTGAGCATCATTTAGAATATAAATAAGTCATATCAAAATTAAAATTATGTAGTAAAATATTGGCCAAATAAAAAAGTATTGACCTGGCGCTGAAAAACATATAATGACGGTGCCAGGCGGACCTCTCTGGGGAGCACATTCCATAGTTGGGGTGCCACCGCAGAGAAGGCCCTGCTCCGAGTACTCTGTCTCCTGACCTCTTTCGAAGAGGGTTCCCGGAGGAGGGCTTCTGTTGCCAATCTCAGGGGGCGGGAGGGCAATTATGGAAAAAGGCGTTCTTTTAGGTATCCTCGTCCCAAGCTGTTTAGGGCTTTATAGGTAATAACCAGCTCCTTGAATTGAGCCCGGACTTCAATGGGAAGCCAGTGGAGCTGATAAGAGGACTGGGGTTATGTGAGAATAACGCCCAGTCTCCGACAGCATCGTGGCAGCTCTGTTTTGCACCATCTGAAGCATCCAGACTGTCTTCAAGGGCAGCCCCATGCAGCGCGCGTTACAGTAATCCAAGTGGGAAGTGACCAATGCGTGTGTCACGCTTAGTTATAGAAGCTTCCTGACAACAGGCCCTGCACAGGCGCAAAATGCTGCATGTGGGAATGCACAGATGACCACTTGGCGAACAGCAGTTACAGCACACAACCTGCCTTTCGTGTGGCAGAAGAGCTAAGGGGCAAATTTCTTTTGAGATTCTTATAATCGTCAAGGAACTATACAAATTGCCTTGTTATTTGCTAAACAGGCATCCGAGTTGCCATGCAAAGTGAATCGTGAGTATTTACACTGCCAAGGAATAGAAACAGCAGCTTTTCCTTCTGAGAAGTGGTAGCTTGCTCATTAAGACCAAGTCCTAACCAGTTCTTTCAATTACACAGATGCACGGGATCATTTAAATGGCTAAATCTTCTCAAGAAATTCAGGACTTCCTCTCTCCCCCTTCATAAAGAACAGCTGGTGCCCAGATGAAGACACAACCAACACCAAGAAAGATGACTGAACTGCAAAAACGCCCAAATCCTCCACTGAGCCAACACTGCAAGGTAGGAGTAGATGAGAAGCAACGACGGAAGAAGCAGTGCTGACCAATCCACCGCTACACCATCCGCTTACATCTGAACTGATGACATGCTCACATAAAACACCTGTCTTCATCCTCTCAGACTTTCTGCTAAGCACGCACAGGCTCAAGCGAGGGGGCAACGCATCCTTTCAAGGGGTAGACGAGCCATCTCCGCTCTCCTAGCACCCAAAGCAAACCAAGGCTCCGGTGACAGGGAATCCCGGTTTCACAGCCTGTGGGAATGTATACTCAGATCCACAGGGAGACCCCCAGGTTATGAACCTCAAGAGTTTTATAGGAGAACATCCAGGAAAAACCCCTCTGCAGAGACAAACCTGCAACAGCACTGCCAGGTAGAGGTGCACAAACCAGCTACAAGTTTCCAGAACATATACAGAGTGTTTTATAGGTTTCTAGCCAAGTACCAGGAACAGGGCAAGTGATGAGAAAAGAATGGGTACATGATCAAAACAATGTGATAAAACGGCAGAGGGGACATGACATAATGGTACAGTAATTATCTGTGAATACAGGGTATTGATAAGGCTGAAAGAAAAGCACATGAATCGTAAGAGGCCTCGGGTGCGGGTACTGGCGGCTGACTGAAGCGAACAGTGCAACACGCTTGACGGTGCAGCTACATGCAGCAGCCCAGCAAGTCTCAGTCTCTTAAAGGAAGAGATGAATACTAAAACAGCTCCGGGGATATTCCGGCCCTTTCTAGGCAAGCGGTGCAGGGACACTGCAGGTCTGAGTTTATCTCACAAGGCAACGCATACAGGCAACCTTTCTTTACAAAGATTTGCTTGAATTCTCACCTGTTTCCCTTTCAAGAGGAACCCAAAGCAGCTTACATAACTCAGTTTTTCTCCTCACAACCTCCCCCCCCCCCCCCCCCATGATGCAGGCCAGGCTGAGAGTCCGTGACTAGCCCTAAGTCACCCGGTATGCTTCACGAGCAAGTAGGGACCAGAACCCAGGGTCCCAGTTCAATACAGCTCCTGGGGTCCCACTTCTGTCAAAACTTTGTACTATTATTAGTAAACGTGGGCAAATTTAAGCAACACTGCCTTCCCTAGTTCCTCTGGGTGCCATGTAAGGGCTGGGCAGCAGCGGTTTTCAGTCCAATTCATTTGGCAGCATGGAAGAATGTCCCCCTTTCTGCAGGAAGGAGCTACATGGGTCCTGAAACAGCGCGTTCGCATTCTTCTGCTTGAGACCTCTCGCGAAACACAGCGGACGATCACTCCTCCCACTCAGACACCTTTCGTATCACAGGGCATGAATGCAGACCGCCCCCAGTACAGCTCGTCTGTGCACGTCCGCCGCTCGCAGAGTAATGGGCCAGGAAGCCCCAGGACTGAGCTTCAGCTCTCACATGCCTGTGGTACCACAGGGCGGGGCATGCCACTCCCCTCCACTAGGCAACGCGTCCTGCGAGGCACCTACCTGCTGGATCAGTTCAGCAGACTCGTCTTCCCCGATCCCCGCGGGAGCCTTTTTAACCATGCCGGGCCCAGTTTTATTCGCCACCGTTCTCTGTGCGACCATGGGCCTCACCGGAGCTGCAACACAGAAGGGTGTGAGCCGCAGGTGACCAAGGCGGCAGGGGCCGCCCGTGCTCCTGCACCAGCAGCCCCGGCGAAGGACGTCCGCGAGGGGAGCCCCGTGCACCGCAGCAGGAGGTGCCCGCAGTCCGAGGACAGCCCGAGCAAGCCCTCTCCGGGCAAGGCGCTTAGTACCGATCATGACAGTTCTCTTTAAGGAAGCCACCGAGCCTGTTCTCACAGACTTCAGTTCTGAGGCCTGCATCTTACTGTTATCTACAAAAGGAGAGTGTTTCTAGCTGTTATGCACTGACCCAACATGCCGCCGGAGCAGCAGCGCCAGCGCCTGGCCCCAAGGAACACGCAAGGCGCAACAGATGTGCACCCCTCTTGGCACCTGCACCCCCTTGTGATGCCGAGCTGAACGCCAGGCATGGACAGGGACGGCCCACGGAGGCTCACACCATTTAGGCTGGCACAGAGAATGTGCAGCACTGCATGCCTCTGCCTCCTGGGCCAGGAAGCACCTGCAAAGTGAGCTGCACCTCCCACTGCTCCGGCACGTTCACCTGGACTGCTGGCGCAGCCGGGCACAGGCTCTGGCCCAGCACAACCCCACTCCCAGCGCACGTCCACGGCCGGCCGCCCGGCCTCAGCGCACGCGCCACATGCTCCCACGCACCTGTGCCACCAGAACCAAGGTTCTTCTTAGGCTTATTCAGCAGCGGAACAACAAGAGCGGGAGCTGGCGCTGTCTCCTGACCCTGCCGCGCTGCCACAGGGTCGTAGTCTTTCCCGTCGTAGTTTGCGTCAAAGAATTTTTTGAACCACTGAACGAATTCAAAATTATCCTGGAATTTTCCTTTCACTAATTTGTCCACAGGAATTATCTGAGGAGAGATTGTACATAATGAACACAAAGGAGAAACACTCTTACTCAGGCCTCAAGGAACAGATGTTCCAAAGACAAGCGCACAGGATTTGTTAACGCAAGTTCAGAAAGGGGTTCCTTCTGAAACTTGAGCTGGACATGAGCAGGAACTTGTAGAAACAAAGTTCATGGCACTGAAAAGAATTTAGCAGATTGCAACAAATGTAAAGACCCAGAAAGGGAATACACACAGGAGGAACACTGCTACAACAGAGGAGGAAAGCCAATCATCATACTACCTACACACACAGAGAAGGATTCTAGAAACATAATGCATTAAAATGAAAGTTAAACTCAAGGAAGTCAAAGTATGAGCTTTCCCTGGCAGGCAGTAGAAGTACAGGTTAAGGAAATTCGTTTTAAATGTCAGGAGAAACAAGATGTGACATGGGAAATGGGTGGATGGGGGCTCCTGTGATTTTGACCAGAGATGCTGCACTAAGAGAAGCTAACAGCCCTTGCCCCCATTTTTCCAGTCCAAGTTGCCCATGCCCTCAGAACTGCCCCCTTCTCAGCGGTCACTTCATGTCACATAAGATGTATTCCTTAAGGCCATATTAAGAGACGCACATGTGGAAGCGGAAGTTCACATTTCATTAAATACAAAGAAATGAGCCTCATCCTGCCATGACAAAATGAGTCTTCAAATCACACGTGACTACTGTAATGTGCATTCTAAGTAAGTTTGTTATTTTGCCCCATGTAGCTTTTAAAGTACATTTGCATATCTGACAGCTGAGCGTGTTGCCATTTGGGTGTTCTGGTCAACAGATTGCCCAGGAACCCATAAAAGGCAGCAGTCAAGGAAGAAGATTTCCAATCAAAGTGAAAGGCAAGCTACCGGGGAAACAGGACAAGCTGTGAACTCTCAGGTTGTGTACACACATATTGACATATGTAACAGAGCCACAGAGATCTTTTCAGAATAGAAAATTTGCCATTACTGAGAGCCAATACAGAATGCACTGCAAGAATTAGTACAGAGAATTGTAACTTCTGAACGGAGCTTGTGCCCCCTTGATGACTGAAATCAGTTCCCACTGCTTCTATCCTCCTCTGCTCTCCAAGCAGAGTCCCCACTTCTCTGATCCGGTGGCCACACAGCCCCACTTCCCAGAAAACCTTTCCTTCCATATGCATTTTAAAGTTCTGCTACACCTCTGCCTATACTCTGCGGTAACAGCATACAGGACTTCGATTTTCCCAGAAATTCAGCTCTAGCAGCCTTTCCCAATCTGGTGCCCTCCAGGTGTTTCAGATTACAAGTCCCATCATTCCTGCCTGACCAATCAGGAAATGAGAATGCTTTGCCTTTGAGCCTCTCGCTGGTGTGGCTTGGGTACTTGTGGCACCTCATGTAACAACTGACATCTTCCCACTTGATAAAGGGAGCGTCCTTCACGTTAATTTCATCAGCAAACCCTAACAGAGGTGCACAAAGTGCTTTCATAAGGAAAAGCAGCTTCTCAGGGGAGCACGCTTGAGCGGCAAGAGGGAGTCTGAGGGACAGGTGTTTCCCCACCAGCTATTTCTCTGCTACAAATTACATTTGCTCTCACACACACTTTTGAAACCAGGGCACACATTTCGGGCCAAAAAAGCAGCCACCAGTGAATAGCCCAATGCCTCTTTCTCTGACCTTAGCTCTCCAATCAAGATGCTACTCCCCAGGGCAGTGGCCCACCAGCCATGTATGACTTTCATACAAAGTCCTTTACCTGACCTTTTCCAGCCGGCTCCTCACACTCAGGGGAGAAGCAACTGATTCCAGAGAAGTTCCTGGGCAAATGCTTCGCTCAGAGCTGCCTGAATACAGGGTCATTTGCAAGAGAAAAGGTGGGTAATTTTGTTGCTCTGGGCAATGAGGTTTCCATACTTGACCAACATCTGCAAACTGGAAGAATTCGATGATGTCTGGCCCCACCACCTTTATTTATTCATAGTGCTTCTGTATACCTTCTTGTAGCCACATGACTCTCTAAATGCCTTACAAAATTTAAAAAACCAACAACACAGACATCATAAATAAAAAAGATGTATGCTGCAGAAGGCATCAACAGGCCACTTTTTAGTCAGGGGTATGTGATCTTACAGCTTCTGTGCATTTTCAATTATTCCAATGCTCTTGTAGTGTAATTCATCAGCCAAACTTATGTTTACACATTTGCGGGGAGGGGGTAAGTTAGAAAAATATAGCCGAAAAAGCTGAGAATAAATTGCAGTTGGTTGGTTTTAAGTTTAATCTGAGGCACATCTAGTTTAAGCTAGACTGCTAGGACTCCAGATTTATCAATTTTTAATTAGGAAAAGTAAAAGCTGTCTAGTGACTGAGAGATACCCAGAAGCAGAAAAGATTAACGAGCTAGGACACAGCAGCATCCGGGCCGAAGAGGAGGGATGCTATAAATTGGTGTCCTTAAAACTGCAGCATTCCATCAGGATGGACTCAAACAGCATGCACTGAAACACATACAAAGATACTTACTTTGTCAACACCCATTCGCTTAAAACCTGCTTGTAGCACCTTGAAGTTCTGAATGTATTCATGTTCCAATTTTGCCTGGAATTTCACTTTCTTGAGTGTTACGGAACCAGGGAAGAGCATGTCCATGAACTGGCAATAAGCAGCACCTTGCAGGGAAAGAAAAAGGCAGGTGTACTTATGATGATGCAGGCTTAGGGTGACATGGTCAACTCAGAAGGGAAATTTACAATTCCTTCACAGAATTGCTAGCATCTTCACAGCACTCCAGACAAAGAGCTTATGGAACTGCGGTGTGCCATAGGGTTCACTCTGGGGCTGCAGGACTCACAGCTGTCCGTGAAATCACAGGTCTAATCACCAAAACAATTCCCCAGCTTAAAATGAGGCAGTGTGACTCATGAGCCCAATAGCCTTTACAAATCAGTGGCAGCAAAACCAGAGCATGGGCATGTCCCTGGCTAGTACAGGATCTGTTTCCTCAAGGAAACACACTGCCCACTTAAGAACAACACTCTTGCCTCTTGCTTGACTTAAAGAGACCCCCAGAATGCCGCTTGCTAAAATGGGATGGGGGTTTTCTACAACACTGAAGATGGAAGACTTTATCGTACTACAGCTTTCTGTCAGCTGACCGTGAGCCTGAGATCCCAGGACACTGATTGGCAAAAGGTTTAGGACAGACAGAAGTACTTTTCCACAGTGTAGTTAATCTATGAAATTCACTGCCATGGGGGGCGGGGTGATGAGTGGCAGTCTGGGTGGCTCACTTGCCCTTCCCAGGATCTTTGTCCTGCCACCTGTGCATTTCCTCCCGCTGGACACTCCTTTTGCATTTATCAGCTTCTCACGGCGACTATCAGTGTGTACAGCACATTATGTATGACCCAAACTTTACTGAAACTTTCTCCTGAATTCCCTTCAATAGTTTCCATACACAAATATCCACTTCATTCTCCTGTTGCTTTTCTTGTTTGTATTGTACTGTACAAGCAGCAGCATAGCATTGCAAGGCATGAAAACTCTGCTGCTATCACTATGGATTCGTCCCCTGAGGCTCAGCCCCAGTGCTGAGGGCTCACAGCAAGACGTTTAACGCTATGCAAGCTCCCACAGGGACCAATATAGGCTGTGCAAAACCTGGTTCGTGTTTGATCTTCTGCAAGGAGTCGCCAAGTGGTGCAAATTTGAATTCGTGTGTGAAACCAAGCAACACCCGTCTTGTCACCTCTCAAACGCTGCACCTGGGGAGTATTCCCCAAACCCCACCAGCACCGCAGAACCACTGAGTGAGCCTTGAGGCATTCGCACCATGACCCCCACCCCAAGCCCCTTCTATTAGATTGCACCCCGAACAAAGCACACAAGGCCAAAGAAACCTGGAGGACAAGAAGCATGTTACAAACAGGAGGTTCAAGCCAGCCAGCCGTGCAGCTTCCCCCAACCTGCTCCTACCAAAATGTGCTGCACTCCAATTCCCAGCAGCCCCAGCAGCTTGGCCAATGGTCACAAATGCTAGGAACTGCACTCCAACACATTTGGAGAATGCTGCAATGAGAAAGGCTATGCTAAAGGGGGTACGGCACCAAACTAAAGGCATGTATACTTTTATGTTTGGTTTGCAACTACAAAAAACCCCTCCTTCCACCCTAAAGGCAGGCAGACACTCCGAGCAGCATCCAGAGAGAAAGGCTGATCTCCAGCTTCTCCAGTGCTCTGAAAGCCTCAAGCAGCACTTCTGCTCTCAGCGGTCTTCTTACCTGAGCAAAGCTGCTCTATCTTTGTCAGGTTCAACTGTAAGGACTCGTTGATCCAGGCAAGCATGTCATGTCGACTCAAGTTATCACTTGTCACTGAAGTGGAATACACGTTAACTGCCATTTTCTGGAGAAAATGAAGAAATGAGGGATTTTGTTTACAGAGAGGCTAGCAAAGTGAATCCCTGCCGCATCTCACATCCCTCCATCACACTCTCCAAAGTGAACAGGAAATCTTTCCTAGTCATCAAAGGCACAGTCACAACTGTTGGATGCAGACCACCTCCTAATGAGTCAGTTTACTGGAGCCAGAGTAGCCCCTTATCAGAAACTCACTGATCCAGTAAGGTGCTGACTCTATGTTTATAAATAGCTGAAATCAGATGCTGCGCTCATACACTGAGAACCCTTTCCTGTCACTAAAGGAAATATATTGCAATGATCCAACGCAGAAAAGAGGAAGGTAACCTAGCCAATTCAGCTGCTGCCTCAAAATGGTTCTTCAGACTTGGCTCATTTGCCTTCCACAAAACATCTCCAGGGAAGACCCGGCACGGGAGAGTAAGTGGAAGATGAGCAAATGAGTTTTCCAGGAAGAACAAATTAGCAAGAGGAAAACAAAGCGAGGGGCCCACAGGAAGACTGCATGCACCCACTGCCTTTGGAGATTTTCGGCAGGGCAGCCCAGCAAAAGGCGTGACAATGGATGTGAAGGGAACTAGCCCTCCTGGGTCCTTGAGCTTATGGAAAAGAGGGCACACTGCTTAAGTACCAGAAGCTTCAGCTAGCAGAGGCAAGGAGCTAGTGATGAGTGCCCTGAGATCTCTTGTAGATAAAAAGGGGTGTATTAAGCTTGAAAATAATTAACTACCAGGGAAGAGAAAGCTCAGCAAACACACTCCGAAGAGCCTGGGGAAGGAATACAGAAATGCAGCCCTTCTGCTTCTTACTGGGACTTTTTTATGGTGCTTACTTTGAAATCTGCTTCAGTCAGTTGGCATGCCTGCTTCGGGATTACTTGAGGGACCGCCCTCACCCATACAATCAAGCCCATGTAACATCTGCCCCTGCGGTCCGAACTGGAGCCTGCTATTGAGAGAGACGAGGCACCAGGCACATGGCCTCAGGGACTCCTCCTGCCCTGCCCCTCCAGGACTGGGATTCAGGAAAGGTTTGAAGACCTTTTATCTGGAACAATACTTCCTTTGCTCGGAGGACAACAAGTTCTCCTATCTGAGGGCATTTCAGCATAGCATTCCGCATGCTGACCAAGGGGCCATTCTTATCTGTTTCTTTCTTGCCCTTTCCCCTCACTGTGCAGCCCTGGGAGGTGTTGCAGCTTTAACAGCCGAATAAAAAGACGAACGGTCAGCCAGACGTCCGTTCACCTCGCGCTCCGAGCGAAGCGGCAGGACGCGAAAGCTCCCGCGACCGGGGGAAAGCAGCCTTCCCGGCGGAAAATTCATTTCGGGCGCGGGGACGCGCGCTGCACAGGCCCCCGCCCGAGGCGCAGCCGCCGCCAGGCACGTCGCGCGGAGCAGGCCGGGCAGGGGCGCCCCGGGGGGCTCCAGGTAGCGCCGGCGGGCCGCCCGGGAAGCGGAGCGGGCCTCGGGCC